AAAGACAGGTAGTAACATGGAAGGCATCTGCAAATGAAAAGGCGGTGGTGCGGCATGTGGACTATTTACTGTCAGTTCCAATTGCACTCAGTAAAACAGGTTTTAAACAAAGCAGTAGGTCATATAATGGTGTGTTTCATATAGCGTTTGTGTTACCAGAGGCCTGTGGGATTCCTAATTTTAGACCAGAATAATACAGTGTTAGATGTAGCAGAAACATAAACAAAATAGACAGCTCTTGCCAAAAGAATATATTATGTAAGAGAAAAGAAAACAAATTAATACAGAAAGAGAAACAAAAGTATCAGATAACAGCAAACAAATCATATAAACAAAGGATGATTTCAGGAAATACTTCAACACTGTTTCGAACAATGACCAGATGTGATAGCAGATGTAGCATAGAAATGTTAGATTTGTATTCATGGTGGCAGAGTTTTAAGGTGTCATATGAATATACTGCAAATGAACCTGTGTAGCTCATTCCTGTAGTTAACACCTGACAATGAATCAATAGGAATTTACTGAGAAGTTAAATCACTTCACCATAGTGAATTTACTTCACCATAAGACCATCCTACAACAGCTTCTAGAGTTTGCACCTGTTACACCCACCTTAGCTCCCTTAGCCAAGGTAACAGCTTGCCAACAGGTAACACTAAGCCCAGGTTAAGCAGGATTTAAAGTAGGTCTGGACAGTTGATGTCATCAAGAAACGTGGCAAGACATGGCTAAGGTTGCTGAACACTCCATTAATTGATTAAACTCTGTCAAATGGCAACTTTCTTGGCTGGTATTTTTTGGGCCTCTCTGCACAGCAGCCTTAATTCACCACATCAACATCTGTGTTTCATCAAGCAAAAGCAGGCCCACTGTATAGCCAGCACTGAATTAAACCTATGCATAAATCATGTATCCACTCAAGTAAAGCATTGGTGCACATGCTCTAACGATCTGAGCAGATGCATCAGAATTATTTCTTAATGGACTGTAAGAGAACCTCTCTGTTCTTTTGGATATGGAGTCAGTGGTGTGGGAGGAACAGGCTGACTTCTGCAGCACACACAGCAGAACTCACAGTTTGCTCATTTCCAGCTCCTGCAATACCCCATTGTGTATTTTCAGGTGGTAATTCTCCAGCCAGCCTTGTCAAAGAAACTTGATGAAAAGCCTGTGCAGGTTTTACAAAATTTGGGGACTTAGAAATTGTTCTTTCCTCAATACATTTAAATCAGACAACAATTTTTAAATGCCTTATGTAAAAAGCAATAATGAATGTTCATATTCTTCCTAATTGTTTCCTTAATCGTGGCTCCTTAACTGCAGTCTTCTAGAACAGAGTGTGCAGAAGAGGTAAGGATTTGGTATCTAATGTAAAGTCTGTGGAAACCGTGGATATTCACTCTTTCCAATACTTGACTGTACCAATACTTCTGGTATCTGATAGAGTTTTGTACAATTCATACATTTGCACAGCAGGACTAAATAATGTAACTTAATAGTGCCAGCATGTATCTTAAGTTCTAAGAGCTTAATTTTGCAAGCTTCTTGCTAATGCTATCACTAAAAAGAGCTTTCAGTCCTACAAAAAGAAGTGCCACAGATACAATCTAACACTTCTTGCAGAAAATAACAAGCAATCAAAACCTGAAACTTACAGACACACAGACCCTGCAAACAGAAGAGAGTTACAACCAGCAAAACAGAAAAAGTTTTTTCATTGAAAACAGAGGCAGCTGAAATGGTGTTTAAAATGTCTAGAACTAGTTAATAAAACTAATTAAAACCCAGAGAAAATTATTAAGTCTTAAAGAAAAAGTGAAAGCGCTGGAAATTAAATGGGCAAGGGTTTGGAAAAACAGTTACTTTGATACGAGTTTTGAGTAATCTGAAAAATTGAGAGCTTCCCCAAATAAATGCCTGTTTTCCAGAAAACCGTGTCTCTATAGATACTTAAACTATATACTCTAAATGGATCCCTTTTTTTTAGTTTTAATAAAACATAAATATTGACGCAGAGAAGTTTCTGGACAACCTCCTTAATATACATAGGGTTTATGCAATACCTTTCACATAAACATGCTTTAATTTTTCAGTGAAATGCTGCAGAAGCCTGTGTATCCTTGACATTTCATTGGCCCTGATTAGTTTTTCTGTGTCACTTAGGCACTTCCAGAAAACCTGTCCCAAATACATTTTTAATTTGAAATGCAGATGAAATATAAGATTCTATTCCACTTTGACTGGAATGAAGTTGGACCAGCTATATTTAGCAGCAGGTACTAGAGTGTCCTAAAGTCTGCCCAGTATTAAGAAATATATTCACAGCAGCCATCTGTAGCCATATTTAAAGTTGATACTATCCATGTTGGAACTCGATGATCTTAAGGTCCTTTCCAACCCTAACTATTCTATGATTCTATGTTTTAAAACAAGACACTTAAGGTGCAGTTTATTTGAACCAGTCTCACTAGGTTTCCTTTATAACAGACTCTATTTATCCCATCCTAATGTAGAAATCTAAAATGAGGTAAATGACGTGCCTGCTTCTCTCGATATAAAAGGGGGATCCAAACTGGATAGCTCAGCTCTAGAAAGCTACTTTGTAGATGCAGAATTAGCCTATTTTAGAATGTCCTTACTGCAAATAAATACTGAAAAAAAAAAAAAGTATGATGTCACCATAATATTGCTCACTACTTGAAGGCAAGAATACTGAACCACCTCTGCAGTGAATGTATGCGAAAGATTTTGAGAAAACACTCTGGGTGTTTATCACATATTTTTCCATTTTGATGCTCTTTGGCTAAAAACAACTGTTAGTCTTAAGGACTTGATATCCACACTACATGATTTTCAGAGGTTTACTTCAGACTTGTGATCTCATGAACAGTAACAGCTGATTGGCTGGATGACCTGCTGATGTAATTGCCTGATTATTACATAATTTTGGACAACTGTCCATGTGGAGACCACTGCCAAATTGAGAGCCTCAAATATTCTTATTTTTGTCAAAATTAAAGTCAATTAGATGTGATACATTTTTAATAGACATCAAATTAAGATAATTTGGAGTACCCTAATTCTGTAAACTTGATACAGTTTTTTAAAGATACAGAAATATGCATCAAAAAGGTAGTTAAACATTTGAAGTCAGTGGCTTTATATATGAACATGTAGAAATAGATCTCTGGCTATCATCCAGGCCTGAAGAAGTTTGTTGTGGAAATTACAGGGGAACTCTAAAAGAATTTTGAGTCACTTTTCAGAACAAAACCTAACTGTACCAGCTGTAGAGTTGCAGTGTTGCTATTTTCAGTTGGAAAGGGAAAAAAGGTGTATGTGAATAGCATGTAAAGGAGCACAGAGGCATGAAAATTCTTGCATTGTAAGTGCAGCTGTGTGGCATTTCCATAATTAAACAAACAAACATGTGGGCTGAAATCAAACAGAGACTTCCCTCTGGCAGAAAACATCCAAATAACAGGGAAAAAAAGAAATTAGAATTATAAATGTGTTATATTTTGAGTAACGCAGCAATTATATTAGTAATAACTATACTGAATTTGATGTATTTTGAGTGACAGTTAATTTTCATATTGTCTTCCTTTCCCTCACACATCTGAACTTCCTAAAAGAAAAACAAATTTAAATAGCTAAATTTATAGTGAGCTGTTTTTAAGAATTTTCTGGAAATGGATACCTTATGAAGGAAATAAAAAGCATGTACTTACAAGCAGTTTGTGTGATATAACTATACTCATGAACATAAGGGGAAAAAACAGCAAGGAGATTATATAATACCCTAAGGAGATATCACATATTCCTTTGCAATCCAGTAGATGTCTGTTGGAAGACCTCTGAATAGCAATTTTTCTTACCCACAGAAGGGATACAGTTATTAAAAAGTTGTTCCAGTGTTTAAGAATGGATGAGTTCAGGAGCATTAGAAGATGAAATCTGGATTTCAGGGGAAGATGCAGGAAGCTGCCACAAGACAATTCAAGTGTGAGTTTCAGTAGCATTTCAGATGAACCTATCATTCATCTGGAGATGGGGAGAAGAAACAGACTTCGGGAATCAGATGGTTCCCCTGCTCTTAGGAATTACAATGGGTACCCCTGTGCCAAACAGCTTGCAGAGCCATGGTAAATCAACAATATTGATACACTTTTGCCATTAACATTTTGGTTTTACATGTTTGGTTTCTGATGTACTTTGGAACTATTCCTCATCTGTCTGCCCCCCAGTCTTTCTCTCATGAAAATTAAAGACAGCTTTAAAGCACACAGTTTTTATCTCTGGGAAAAGGCTCAGGAAAAAGGCCCACATTTTCCCGCAAAATGGAAGGAAGTAGACTAGTTACTGCGAGTAAGAAGCGAGAAGAGACGGAATCGGGCGCGCTCTCTGAGCAGCAGATCGGTTAGTCGTGTGTTGGTGCAAGTCCCAAAGGTGTCTGCATCATCAGATCTAGGCCACTTCTGGAACGGAAACCACGGGTGCCCAGGGCACGCGAAGACACTAAACTACTTCCTCTCCACAGTGATTTTACTTAAATTATTTCTAGTTAAAAACTTGTTGCTGTTTTCAGCCAAGGTACTGACGGGACGATAACGACAGCGGCGGGCGAGAGCGCCGCTGAGAAAGGTGAACGGCCCGGGACGGGACAAGCTGGCCCCGCATAGCGCCGGCATTGCAAAAGGACTTTTCCACTCGAGCAGGTGATGGAAGTGGGTTAATTGCGGTCGGAAGTCCCCACGGAGACCCAGCGGCAGGCGACCGCCCGCTTCCTCTGCGCGGCAGGACAAGAACACATCCATCTTCTGTGGAACCGGGATCTCCTCAAGAGCCCCCCTGGGGGCAGAGGCACCCCGCACCCGGGAGGGATGTCCCATACAAGGCCCAGCCTCCCGACGCCTGCAAGTAACTGCCCACCAAGGGACCGCAACTCCATTTCACACAGCACAGTAGCTTCTGCGCTCCCCGCCCAAGAAAGACGGCAGTGCGCATGTGCCGGAGGGGGAACCGTCACCAGCAGGGAAGCAACGCGTGCGCTGGGACATGCGCCATGCGGTCGCGGGGTGATCCGCTGCTGGGAATTGCGGCCGCCCGTGCTTGCCGTAGTGTGGGCTGTACCAAGCCCCTCTCCTCAGGCGGGGGAGCGGGGGTCGGACACTGACAGCGCGTCGGGGCCTGTCGCCCCACGTCCATCGCGTCGCCGGCGGGGAGGCCCCGGGGACGGCGGTGCGCAGCGCAGCAGCGCGGCGGGTGAGGAAGCGGCGAGGCCCCGCATCCTTCCCGCTTCCGCCGCACCGCACCCTGCCCCCGGCAGTGGCGGTGCCGGCGGAGAGGCGGGGCGCGAGGGGCGAGTGGCTTGGGTAATGGCAGCGCTGTGAGGACAGTACGGGGCAGGGACCGCGGCCGCAGGGCAGGGAGCGAGGCAGGCCGGCCGGGGGGGCAGGCGTCGCGGACTCGGGCCCCTTGCCGCCAGGTAACCTTCCGTATCCAGCCCGGCCGGGAGCGGCGCCGGACCAAGGGGAACGAGACCCCCGCCCAAGGGGAGGAGATGGTCCCCGTGCGCTGCGGGCTGCTGGGCCGGGTGTGCATGAGGCTCGGCGGCCCTGTTTACTGGCCCCCAGCCTGCCGGCCCGCGAGGTCGTCCCCGCTGGGGTCCACCGATCCGCCCCGAGCACCCGTCCTTCGGCGGTGCTGGTGCCGCTGCAGCGCCCTCCTTCCGCGGCTGGGCGCGGGCCGGGCCCTGCCCCGGGTCGTGCCCTGGCCCGGCGGGGAGGGCGTGGTGCGGCCTCTCCGGTGGGGCCGGTCGTCCCTCCTCGTTGCGCCCTCGGCCAGTTTCGCTTTTGTTTTGGTGGGGAGGGAAGGAGGGAGCGCACGTGCCCTGCCCGCGGCTTGCGGGGGGCCGTGGGGAGTGGGATGCTTCCGCTGCTGCTGGGTGGACTGGGAGCTGGGGGGCAAGGGGTGGGGCAGGCAGCGCTGTTGACATGTCTGGTATGGGCGATCCTGCCCTGGACTGTTCGCGCATCACTGGCTTGTAATATTTGTCGAGATGTCTAAATAGGCTGGAAATTCGGGGAGTGTTTTGGTGCTCGCCAAAGCTCTGCATTTATTTGTGTGAGCAAATGTGTTCAGTATGACAGTGGTATGTTTTAAAGGATGAGGTGATGGAAGCAACACCTCTCGATAGTCTCTTGTAAATATGTTTCAACAATGTCAGGTTACTGTAGGGCTTGTCAGAGTGGCATGGTTTTCCTCCCGCTGAATGGTGTAAACCCTAAATAGGGGTAGATAGTCTGCTCTACTGTAATTTTTATCATGGCAGTTGCTTGCATCAGTAGAAAACATTTAATGTTGTAAGCTGGTGAGCTTGTGCACGACACATGTTGAAGCACAGCAACCTCAAAACCTCGGTGTCTTGCAGAAAAAATTATAATGTGTTTGGTAATTTATATATAAAACACATTTAAGTTCATTTTGGTGTGAAAGCTGTAAGAGAATGCCAAAATAGCAACCTGTTCTGTCTTTATTTAACTCCAAAATACCTTTGCGAGTATATGGGTGCATAATACTTCACATATTAACAGGTTCTGATGATACTAAACACGGTATTACTGATTCTGTGTGATATATGCTGGGGAGGACTTTTTCTTCACCCTTGCTTCCTTCCCTGAGATTTGCTTATCAGTGACGGAATGGCTCTTTTACCTTGGAGGTACCAGGTGTGTTTTGGAGAGAACAGCCTATAACTTAATGCTCAAAGAAGTATAACTTTGTTACCACAAGAATTTACTAGGATTCTTACAGTTTTTGTGGACCATGATTATTTTCTTCTTGGGGTCAGCTGCAAATACTTCTGTATTTTCCAGAAGAAGAATAATATTAGAGCTTTTGGAAGACAACTGCTTGCTTTTTCCCATCCTGGAAGTGAGCCCTACTGTTGTTTACTTCTACCGAGGTTCATGTTTCTTTGAAACATAAATCAGTTTGTGTTTTTCAGCTTACTTTTTGACAGGTATCTATGGATTTGTCAGTTCTTACTGATTTTCTGTGTAGTAAGCTGCTGCTGACATACTGACATGGATTGAAGATTTCTTTTATTTCCAAAAGTGGTAATAACCATGTTGCAAACATAACAAATGTTCCTACTGAACCGTAAATGTTTGTGTACCACTTTCTGAGCTTCGGTTTTTCTTTAAGAAGTTTCCTGTTCATAAAACCTGGGATAATACCACTTCCTTGATACTAGTTAGTTGCTACTCAGTTTCTTTATGAAATCAAAGTGAGTGTCCCTTGGGTGATACATTGATTACATTTTAAACAGAAATTGTGGAGTTGCAGGTAGAAGAAAACAACCCTCCATGGTTCCTGAATTCATAGCAGTTGAAGAGCTTGGTCAGGTGGCATTTAGTATGCCCACAGTGTAAAAGTTACACCTGATGTTTTTTGGGAGTTTTTTTTTTTTTTTTATTTTACTGAGAAGCTCTATATCCTGCAGTTTGAGAAAACTAATCTGCCCAAGAAAATTAAAAGCCAGTAGTGGTTAATGTAGTGAGCTGATTGCTAAATAGCTTTTTAGCATGACACTTGATCCTTTCCCTTGTAGAGGTGTACCTCTTGTGCCTCAAGTTTGTCACTAGCTGTCTGTTTTTTCCCTTCTGACCTTGGAAACTTGGGAAAACAAGATAGATGTCATTTGCCCATCTATTTAAAATGGAAATATAAGTATTCTTTCAGTTCTTTATTTTATGCTTAAAATGTCATGTGTCTGAGCAGGAACTAGACTTGTGTTGTGCATGGAATGTCACACCATGTCCCTTCCAGATTAGGTTTATAGGACAGAAAAATAGAAACAAAGAAGAAGCCTCCACAGTTGTCTCTTGGGAACTCTCTTTTTAAAGTACCTTTTACTCTAGTTTTAGTTCAGTAATTTAATGTTTTTCCTTCAGTACATCTTTTATATGAAATTACTGTATGGTTTCTGTATTTTCAAGCCATATTTTCTTTCTTATTTGAAAATATTGATGTATTTATTCAAAATATTCTGTATTTTCTTTCTTCTTTGAAAGAATTCACCATTTGTCCTGCTGCAAAGTGCAGTAAGCTGCAGTGCAATAAGCTCAGCATAATGCTCTGTGTTTAGATGTGTTTTCTTTCCGTCATCCTGGTCAAAGCTTTTGGGTTTTGTGGCTTTTTAAGTATAACACCAAAAATGTCTCATGAAAGCTTGAGGTAAACGTAGGCTACAAACTGACAGTGGTAAATTCACATACTCTGGTAACATGCTCAGTGTGTTCCTGCGCAAAATTTTCTTGGATACAGCTAAAAGTATCTTTGTATAAAAGTGAACAAACTAAAATCTACAGGAAAGTTGTTTTCTTCAAATGACACTCTTAAATGGGCAGCTTGTTAAGGTAATGAACTTTGAGGCACAATGTTGTTAGATTAGTCAGTGTTACCTTATAGGCTATTCATGCAACATTAATGTTCCATTCCATATTGTTTAAAGTAAGGGCTTGTGAGCTTGATTTTGGATGGTGAGGAAGCGGAGGTGGGTGTTCTTCATGTTGCTGTATCATGGTGGTGCAAAAGTGTGCAAAGTTTAAATTGAAAATTTCAAAGGGAAGATTTTTTTTTTTTCTTTCTAAATTATTGTATAGTGGTGTTTGACATGTTTAATTCTTCTACAGGTTAACACTAAAGCCCCACAATGTCCTTGAAACCACGAGTAGTTGACTTTGATGAAACATGGAACAAACTTCTAACAACAATTAAAGCTGTTGTTATGTTGGACTATGTTGAAAGAGCAACGTGGAATGATCGCTTCTCGTATCCTTTAAGTGAAGATCTGGCTTAATGTGTTTACGTGATATGTTTAGCATGGAGTAGGCTTGCGTTATTATCAATTTCAATGGTCTTAATCAGAAGCTCTTTGTAAGGTTCTATCTGTTACTAAGCTTGTGGGTCAGTGAATACGTTGAAAGAGATGGGAAATGATGTATGTTTGGGAAGTATTCTATGTGAAAATCACGCTGGTAGTAAAACGTAAATCAGTCTGAGTTTTACTCACTTTTAGTAGCTCTAAACCTTAGCTTTTGCTATAGCTGTTCATGTAAGTACATGGATTGAATTTCCCCAGTTCCGATAATGATTTTTTTCTTGTATGCTGAAGTGTATGCTTAGGAGGGGAAGCATGTGAGACAGAGAATGCACACCTTTGAATTTGGGGATGTGGGGTTGGTGAGGTTCTGTTTAAAGATGTCTCTCTCTGGACTTCCAAATGTACTGTACCATATTAGCCATTTCTGTAGAAAGGGTTTATAAAAAACCTTCCTTTCCCTCCACTGCTATTACTCCTATTCCTGAGAGCTAACCTGTGTTTAAAAATTACTACTCTTTCTAGCTGTGATCATATGTTCTTGCCGTTCAGGTGAGAGCTGTACCTCTGTTGTTGTAGTGAAAGGCTTTTCTTTTACATATAAAATGGACTTGTAATTTTTTGCAAGATTTGAGTTTCGGTGAACTACTTATTTTAAAAGAAGTGTAACTATTTGTCCTGGGTTCAGCTGTAACAGTTATATTAACCCTTCTTAGTAGCTCATGCAGGGCTGTGTTTTGGCTTTAGTCTGAGAACAGCACTGATAACACACCGATGTTTTTAGTTGTTGTTCAGTAATGCTTACCCTGATCAAGGACTTTTTCAGTCTTGTGCTCTGCCAGTGAGGAGGGGCACAAGAAGCCAGGAGGAAACAGAGACAGGACACCTGACCCACACTAGCCAAAGGGGTATTCCATACCACAGCAAGTCGTGCTTAATACGCAAACTGGGGGGAGTTACCTGGAAGGCCCAGATTACTGGGCATTGGACAGTGGGAGGTGAGCAATTGGACTGTGCAACATGTGTTAATAAGTGGTTAACTTTAGAGCTTAAAGCTCTAAACCTTTCATGAAGGACACATAAAGTAGATTTAAATCTCAATAACTGAATGGGATGTTGGATTGATTCCTCTTGTCACACTATTTCACTTAGAAATTTTTACATGGAGGTCTTGTACACAAGTCTGCTGTTGAGCCTCTTCTCAGGTTTACTCCAGTTAATTGAACATCAGAAAAGGAGTACTTGTCAATAGCAGACTCAGGAAGCAGTCTTGGAAGAATCATTTGGAATGTACTTCATAAGACCTTACTTGCCATCATCTCTTAATTATGTTCTTGGAAAGTGGCACTATCTGTGCCTGATATAGCGCTGGCAAGAGCCTTTTGGCTTATTATTTGTGGCTGAATGGCTTGAGGAGCTTGTGTGACTTGTAACTCGCAGCTTGAATGTTGATTGTTTAGTACTTCTGCTACCTGTAACCAAATCTAAATTGTAACACAAACTATTCACTGAGTATTCAGTAACTTTGTGAAACTGGCAGCTCTATAGAGCAGGTGTGAAAGCTTTTACCAGCTTAAAAAAATAAAATGATATATTTTAGGAAGATGCGGCATTTAAAAAAATACATTATCTTGTTCTTTGTTAGCTTTCTAGTCTCTGTTAGATTCAATTTAATCAAAGTAATCAGTTTCCTAACACTACAGGGATTTTAAAGAGATGTCATACGAACTCTGTTTTTCTTGCTGCTTAATAAGCAGCATAAAAAGGCGATAAATTATTTGAACTGTGTTAATGAAATTCATATGGGTTATTTAATTTATAGAACCATGTGATCTTTGTAGTCTCTCTAGTTGAAACAGTGGTGTGGAAACAAGGGATAAGAATCATTATTTCAGTCTGCAGCAATGTATTCTGCAAAACGTTTGCTTTCTCTTGTGCTGCTTGAGATAGCTGAGATCATATGGTGTATGGAAACTAATAGAATTTTAGGAGTGAGAGGCTTGTACTGCGTATGTACCACTTCTAGAACTATTTTTTGCCTCACTACTTCCCCAGAACTTGTCTGTAATAGTGTTTTCTTTGTTATTCTGATGGTAATTTTATTGTTAAATATAGCTTATATCTCAAACTTGAAATGCTAGAATGGCAGTGAGCTGGGAACCACAACTGTGTAAGAGTTAAAATCTGCAAAAGATCACTTGGAAGACCATATGTCACTTTATTTAAACTGTGAGTCATCTTGAACCACCTTTGTCCTTCAGATTTCCTTTAAGTGTCTCTGCAAAGAAAAAAATGTTTCTGGAGTTGTTTCATTGTCTGGTAAACAAGTGACAGTTATGTCTCTCTATTTGAGATACTATTTACAATAATTTGGTTGTTATGAGTGCTTTGTGTAACTTTCAAGGCATTGCCTCTAAATATTCATTAGGCTAGGGAGTGCTCTTTAAGAGGCTAATGAAGCTTGATTGCAGAGTGGTAGTTCAGCTGTACTTTGATAACTACCTTTTAGCAGCAGAACTTTTTTGAACAGGTAGAGCACCAGGATCTTCCTGTTATTGTCTTGGGTTTTCCACCAACCAAATAAATAAGATAAACAGTACCCAGGGAGGAAGGTAGCCATACTGCAAACTGAAATTATGTTTAAAGTATGAAACATTTCACCTGCTGCTTTTTCCATTTTTCTGAATGTTTGTTCTCCCTCCTCTAACTCTCCATTTTACAAGGATCCAATGAGGAAACAGAAACTTATAAACATGTATCTTTAATGTAAGAACTAGCCCAAAGAGAAGGAAGAGTAAATCAAGTTCATATAGTTGAAATTCTTTCTGACTATGAGTCCTCAAGTGCTCTGTGAATTTTTATTCTGTTACAGAGGAAGAGTAACAATCACATAAATTATACAAAAGCTCTATTTTAGGCTCTTAACAGAAAGTTTTGAGTAGATGTTCTGTAGATATAGAGTCTTAACTAGATTATTTATTTTGTTTTAACCCTGAGGACAATATTTCTGAGCTTTTATGGCTTGGAAACAGTATTTTGTCATTGATGGTAATTTGTTGTTTTGGGGTGGTTTTTTGTTCTTAGTTTGGAATCGCTTAAGTTTCTTACTGCTGGGTAATGCCCCTCATGTAGCAACTACTGAAGCACTTATATCACACAAGGCTTTTGAAGCTCTCAAGACAGAGTGAAGGCCCCTAATCAGCAGTTTTTCTTCAGCTTCCCTTGACCTTTATCACCCTGCAAAACTATGTGCTAAACTGGAAGGACAGGTGGCTTTCACCATTAAAGATAAAATAATGAGCAATAAAGGCTTCTTCCTGATCTTATTAAGGGGCAGCAGCAAAGAAAAAAATGTGCTTTAAGTTTATGGACTGAAATACCAGTGATGTTTAATTCATCACTGGATAAATTCATCTCCCCTCAACGACTTTTTGTTAAGAGATTTACAGCATTTTGAACACTGCACTTAAATTTGGATTCCAGGCCAAAAGATGCTGTTAGATTAACAAACTAGTACAGATTGAGCAAGAATGTGAACTTTTTGTAGCAAAGCTACTTTGTAATGTGTTTTTGAGAGTCACGATAGCTGCTTTTTGTAGAGAATCCAGAGACACTTAGTACCTAGCAAGTAGTCTGGTGTTGATTTTTATAATTTGATACAGGAAAATGTGTCAGGTGCCTGTGGAAGTGCTTCTGTGATTAAGCTGTTAGTTTAATTTCAGCAGGTGTGGAAACTGGGTGTCATATGTCAAGGAAAAATACTAGATTAGGCTTTCTTCATTTGCAAGAAAGCTTGACTGTTCTCTAGAGTAAGGAAAGGCAAGTTTAGAAGATACACATCTTCATGGAGGAGTAGAGAGACTATTTTCATTCTTAAATAGATTTATTGCAACTAAAACTAATTTGCAACAGTCGAGTCATCTGTACTCCTAATTGAAGACTAGATAAACTCAGATGTTTGTTTGCTGCTTTTATCAGATTAGCTGCCGTTATTATTTTCTTGTGCCATTGTGATGAAGACTGTTTGTTACCTCTGAAGGAAGTTGCTCTTATAGCAGAGATCTGTAATAGTTTTGGTGATTCAGATTGTGTAGTTGTAGATCTAAAAAAGGAAAAAAAGAGTCATGTCCCCTTTGCTTGTGAGTATATATATATTAAAAAAAATTCTAATTTTGAAATTTCATTTCTCAGAAAGATCTTATTTGCATAGTGAAGAGGCTTGCAGTCTGAATGATACTGATGATGTGTTCAACTAGAGACCTTCCTTAGAATGACAACATTCATTTGAGGGGGGGAAAGTGTGAAAAACAATTGTTCTTTACAATCTGTTTAAGAAAACTTTTAATTCTTCACTAGTAATGTAAGAGTTTGTTTTACTATTATATTGGTCATAACTTTGTAAGTTGATATAATGTCATGCTAGCCACTGTTACAAAGCAGTGACTATTGCCTGGTTTATTTGTTGGGATTTCCATTTAATGCTTCTTGCCATTCCAAGGAGAACATGTGTACAGATGATCTATAAGGATGAAAAAAATGTACTCAAAATTAGACTGTGCTTAGGCTCTCTGAGATTCCAGTTGCCATATAAAGGCTTTTTTTGATTTAGTTGTCCTGCATCAGTATCTTCACTGTTTTGAGTAGTACTTCTGTATAAAAAATGGAACATGCTCTTGGGAAAACTGTCTGATGAAAGCTTGACGCTATTCTGTAGATGAAGCAGGTGACTTGTTAACTGTCCTTATGTATTCTATCTCCTTTTGCACAGCTATATGCTTTTTTAAGGTAGACTAGAGGAAAGCAGATCTTGTGTGTTCCCTTAATTAAAGAGCTTACCTTAAAAAGTAAACCATACTAAATCATTATTTCCAGCATGGCTGGTTTTATAAAGTGCTCAGAATTAGTTTTTAACTGATTTTTGCAGAACTAGTTTATTTCCCACAGTTGTTTACCTCAAGCTTGACTTAATCCTTGCTTGACTTTTCTGAAAGCAAAGTTCTTAATCGTAAATTCTTTTCCTGGCAAAGTATCAAGTAACTTTTTTAAAACTTGATATAAGCCTTACAAACCAAAGGTGTAGCTCTGCAAGATAGTACAAAACTACCTTAAAGGCTAAAGCTGCTACCTAATTAAGTGAGGAAGTACAACTGTTTTTCATGGCTGTGATCTAAACAGGATTACTGAAAAGGTAATAATGGTTAAAAATAAAACAAAGGTTTTACATCCACACTAGCATTGTGATGACTTAATTTCCAGTGTCCCACAAAATTGTTTTACCTGTGGAGCAGGGGGGAAAATGCAGGAACAATAAAATGTTTTAGACTTGGGGGAGGAAAACCTGAAGTCAATTTCACTTCAGGTTTGTTCTGCTCCATAGTTGACTAATCACACTCTTGACCTAATGAGTGCTTCTTTCCATTATCCGAAGAGTCTCAGTTTCAAGCTGGCTGCATATTCAGAGGAAGAATTTTTGGATGAAAACTGTTTTTTTCACTTTGAGATAATCTTATTCATAGATGGCAAATAAGTCGTAGAAGCCATGTCAACGTGGGGCTGACAGAAGTTCCAGGATTCTAGCTCTAACATTCCTTTGCCTTCCACTACTTAAGAGTTATTATTGATGCTGAAAACTTAGGAACTTAGATTCTTCAAAGATCAGGATTTACACTAATTTCAGAAAACAATCCATTTTATCCTTTGTGCTCAAATGTTAAAAAAATTCAAAAAATCTAAAATGAGCGTGTTGAAGGGAAAAAAGATTCTATATGTCTTAAATTTTGTTGATCAGTTTTCATACTTCAAGCAGATACAAACCTTGACTCTGAGCCCAGAGACATTTATGCTTTGTGTGTGGCCTATCCTGAGCCTCTTGGAGAGAGACTTTATACTGAGACTAAAATTTTTTTGGAAAATCATGTACGCCATTTGCACAAGGTAATGACTACACTTGTGGTACATGTAGGTATTGTTTGTTCTCTTTTGACTTTAGTAAGGGGGTTTGTTTGTTTTGTATGTATGAAGGTATGCAGATTTTACGAGATTAAATTACAGATGACAGAGTTCCAGAGACAGAATATATATGTATCTGATATATCAACACACATCACACGACGCAATGTAGACAATGTCTATATGCTACATGAAAGAACTTTCTTTTTAAGCCAATAATTATGGTTTATGCAAAATATTAATTGGCTTGAAGAGTTAAGTTCTTTCTTTTCTTTTGAATGCTTATAACGAATCAAGTTACAGGAATATCCTCATTTTCCAAATGTGCTATAGTTCGTCTGTTACAATGTAGAAGTATCTTCTGTAGTAGATACCAGTTGTATGTAGTCTACCAAAGAAAACTTTTGAAATATGTGGGAAATAAAATGACAAAAATGCTTGCGAGGGAAGGATGTAATGTCAAATTACGGTATTATGACAAATAACAATACTTGTATACCTGTGTAGCTGTGAATTAACTTCTGTCTCATCAGCTAAACCAGCCAATTTCAACAGAATTATGATTCATTATCTGGAGTATATAAGATGGATGAGCAGTGTCACCTTGTATTTCAGTAAAAAGAGAAGTAGATATAAACAAGATGTCCACCTCTCTCTGGTGTCTCTATAGGGAATGAAGAATTGCAGACTGTGGATAGTACTGCTTAATGTCTTTATGCTATGTTTTGAGCTTAGTTATCTCTGTATTTGACAAGATAGACTGGGTTTTTTAATGTTTAGTTCCACTGGTTGCAAAAAGGATACCTCTGACATTTTGGTAGACTAAATCAATACGCTAAAATGACAGGTTGGCCAAAAAATCTTCTTCCTCATTTATTTAGTGAGCTGAAACGAGCTCACTTATGATGATTAGGCAGATGTCAGCGCAGTAGAAACTGGGGGAAGTAGCAGAAAGCATACATCCATACATTCTTCTTCTTTTTCTTTTTTTTTTTTTTTTAATTGACTATCTACCATTTGTCTTTGAAGTGATTTTGAAAACCTTTCCAAAATTCTCACTGCGGAGGAAAGCACTCCTGACTGTGTTGTCTGCTAGATTTCCTCTTCTACATTATTTTTTGCGTAAGATTCTTTGCTGCTTGAGCCTGAGCAAACTCTAGAGAGAATTCTAGTTGAATTCCTAGGATCTCATCCTCCTTCACAAATAGTTCTTAAGTTGTCAGACTTACTTCCTTGAAGCGTAAGTATAATTTGAGAACATCAGCAACTTTTTAGATGATGATTTGCTTAAATTCCAAAGGATTTGGGCCTAGATTTACAGAACTTAAGATAAGTTTGTACATATCTGCTTTGTTAAACTTATTTTATTCCAGGATTCTTGGTAAGTATAAGGGCTTGTCTAACCAGTAAGTCTGACTTTAAGTGGTTACAGTTAGGCAACTCCTCCAGAGTACAGGTGGCTGCATGAATTTAAATTGATCTGTGTCAGTGGGGGATAGCTATTTGAATTATCCCACCAGCATGAAAGTATGAACCATGCTTATTCAAGCAGCTACTTCTGCAAAGATAAATAGAAAACAGTACATTATCGTGTTTGTTCTTTTTAAATGTAAAATAAAGCTGTTGTGGCTGGCTTACCAGAACTTCTGTACGTGGTGCTTCATACTACAAAATTTGTAGTATGAAGACTTGTTGTTTCCTGGTCATTGCCACAATGTTATTTTTAGGCTGCTTAAAGCTCAGGTGTGATTTTAATTTTGAATATGTGTTTGTTGTTCTAAAATGATAATCCTATTACAACTGTCTATGTATGTATGCTATTTTCATACTGATTTTAGTGAGGGGTGTGTGCCTTCCTTCACAGAGAGTTCTGGAAGCTGAAGAACAAGTACTGGTTATGTATCACAGATACTGGGAGGAGTATAGCAAAGGGGCAGACTATATGGACTGTTTATACAGGTAAGCTTTTCAAATGAGTTAAGCTATTCAAATTACTACACGATCTGCAGTTCAAGTGGAAGAATGTTGATTAGAGAGCAGTAGCTGAATGTGCCCAGAGTCAGTTTTGGAGAGAATGTAGTTATGGTGATGGAACACAAGAAAAAGAGGAATAATGCCTCAACAGGTTTTTCTGTGCACTGCACCTTGCCACTGAAGTAATTATGTAAGATGATTCTTACTGTTCTTCCATTACGAGTATATTCTGCCTCTGTTGTTGGCACTCTGTTGTAGTGCCAAATATGTTGGTGCTAATCAGCCTGCAGTGAAGTAGCTCATAATCCTAGGTGTTCTACAAGGATGGCATTGTACTGAAGTGTCCAGTTGAACCAGCATGGTTTGTTTCAAAGCTTAGCCCTGTACCTTGGCAAAAACACAGATTTCCCTCCTAGAAGAGCCTTTCAGACAAGGTTATGTGCTCTTTGGGTCCTTTCTTTTCAGGTGAATGTTTGGACCACAGGGATTGCAGAGGGTGTAAAAATTACTCCTTATTTCTTTTCTGCGAACTTCATAAACTAATAGACTTTTACAGGCAATCAGTTTTACACATTGTTTGGTTTGGGTTTTTTGTTTGTTTTTAGACAATTAGAACCAAGTCTATAAATAAAAACATAACTAAACTGTGTTATTTTTGTACTTCTGCTGTTTCCTTCATCACAAATACGTTTTGTTACCACTAGTAATAGCTTAAGCAGATGAAACTTACTTATTCAGGAGCTGCTAGAATGATAAGTGTATTGAGATAGCTTCAGATTTGCTAGGATTTGAATTTTAATTCCACTCTGGCTGTAATTGGAACATTCTAGTGCCCATTATGCATGTGATACCGAGTAGGTAAATATAACTTACAAGGCACTGTTAATATGGTACTTATTTGATGGCATGATGTGAGGATTTACAAAGGATTTGAAGACCTTTACTATTATGCTAGGGATATGTATGTGTGGTCTTGTAGAATCGTATTGAATTATCACTAACAGACTGGGAACAAATGTGATGGAATCCATCCTGGCCTTGCAGACTTTAGTTCCATAGTGTGTCACTGACTGAACTCGGAAGCTGATACAGGGGGAAAAGAAGAATCCTATTTAATGTGTATAAGTCTTGCTGATTCTGCTTTCTGCAACAGTTTTTCTGAGTGCTTGAGTGCTTCTGGTCATAAACCAGCAAATTAAAATATTTCTCCAGCAGAGCGACCTTGACTTTTTGTTTTATTTTTAAGCAAACTAGGGCATTTTTTTCCCCCAGACAGTTATTATGCACATGAACTAACCTGTATGTAGATATAAGCTCAAAAGAGTGGCATTCATATACACATGAAGCCAAGCTCTTAAACACTGAAGTTATTTCATGCCAGCTCTGCCCATTCTAACTCTTATTCCTGCTATGCATATTGTGTTTTGGTCCAGAAAATGTACTTGTTAGGTGTTCTGTTGGAAATAATTTTACTTCAATACTATATGTTTTTTCTTTGTGTTGAAATTCTGAATTTTGTCATATACCATCTTTTAAAAGTCTCCAAAGGTCATGACTTTGTGAAAGTATGATTTTTCTGTAATAAAATTTACATTGTAATGGGAAAAGACCCTCTCACATGAAAGTAAGAAATAATCCAGTGCTTGATTCGTAGGGTCATAATGCACTGGACACACTTCATTAAGTGTTACGTCAATTTTATTGTTTTCTGAGGGAATGTTTCGGGTGAAAGTACTTCTGAAGGCTGTTTTTTATAAAGCAGTTGTAGTTCTTTTCTTACTTGCACACCTGCTCTCAAGAAAGTACCATAAATTAGTGGACTCTGTTGCATCCCAGGATCTAATTTGTATAATTCTTCCAACAATGAAAACTGATTAGTCTTTACAGCTGGTAATCTTAGTGTTGTTTTTTAAATAGATTCCTTTAAAATTTCAATAGACTCGCATCTGTGCTTCTACCCTTACAGGTAAATATTGCAATGCTACTAAATGCTACACTTTCCTTTTGAGCAAAATTTATAAAATTCAAGACCAATCATATGACTGGCACTAGAGTTAATGTTTTCTTTCTTTGGTGTTGATTTTGGTTTGGGTTTTTTTTACCTACCCCTCTGATTGCATTTTACTAGGAAAAAAATTCGGATTCATTTTGAAAACTGAAATCCTATACGTGCATGACTAAACAAAGGTGATAAAACTGGTGGAATAAGGAACACTCCATATTAAATGAACTTCTTCAGTTGTTTTTGTAAGTTCTGATGGTAAACGTGATGGATAAAAACAATGCAGGACATGGGAGCTTATCAGTGTCTTAGTGGTGTAACTGTTTTACTGGGTAATTGTACTTGTAAAACATCTGGTTTGTTTACCTTTATTTCAAGTAACCTGGAGAGTTTTATTGTATTTCTTTAACAGTTGAAATTTTAAAATCTTCTCATAATAAAATCCTGAAAAGTAAGCACACGTAGTACAACTTTTGCTTTGTTCCATTTTGTGTTGTTTTTTTTTCTTTTCTCCAAGCACTTGTAATAATACTAACATATCAATGTATAGTAATTTTTAGTCCGGTTGGCGAATTTTAGTTCCATGTATTTTTGTGCTTTTTACATGAGACATCTTCCTTCTCTTTCAGGATTAAACTTTAGCCAGTTTTGTCATGATAGGAGTAAATTGTATTCTGATTCAATAGTATCAACAGTAAACTGTAACATAATTCAAACTGCTAATAGCTCCAGGCCTCTTCTCCAGTCCCCTTTCTTCTAAGTGTTAAGAAGCTGCAGGTCTTAATCTTGTTTGCTAATTATGTAACAATAAATGTGGGGAAGATTTAAACAAGAAGTGCCATCAACATTTGAGTCCCAATATTAATGATATTTTTCTACTGAAACTTCTTCCATTGGCAGAACTGTCTTCATTTTTGCCTAGAGCATTTGGTAGCTGTGGGAGATTTATTTCCATATCAGCTATTTATTATTGGTCTCATCATTTTGATACAGCTGTTGGGTTAATAAGATTTTAGTGTCTGCAGTGCTTTGTAATGAAATGGCTTTCATTTATTAGCCAATCTTCAAATTGTGGTAAATTACTTTAACCCTGTTTTACCGATCTGTAAACCAGTGAGTAATCTGTTTTAAGAGTGAATCAGAACAGATACTGGATTATTGTATGTGCATGCTACTAGACACATCAAAGCATTCTGCTTGCATAAAGCACAGTGGTTCTGGTGCTTTTAATATAGCTCTTGTGAAGTCGCCAGTGCATGTTTTCATTGAAACATTAGCAAAAAAAAAAAAAAGTAGGTGTGACTAAACCTCTGAAGGGCATCCGTTTGAACTTTGTGCTCAGAGTAGGGCTAGCTTCAAAAGTTGAACCAGGTTGCTTAGGTTTTTGTTGAGTCAAATTCTGAACTCCTCCAAGGACAGAAATTTTGGTGCCTTTGTGAGTAGCCTATTTTAGTGCTTGATTACTCATTCTAAGAATTTCCCTGTGTGTCTGTTTGGAATTTGTTGTGCTGCAGCTTGTGTCCATTACGTCTTGTCTTTTCTCTGTGCTCCTCTGAATTTATCTTCATCTTATGTATGTCTCATGCTCTGCACTGTAATGTACCTATTTATCTCTTTATGCGGTTGCATATGCTTTCTGTAGCTTGCAAAGCAGTTTAATTGTGCAAGTGCTAGGTTGAAGAAAATCTTAAAAACCAAACTGAACGCTTCTGAAAACAAACTGTAATAGTCTTAGCTAATTAGTTACTTTTAAAGAATTGCCTCCTGTACATCAGTAGAGTGGATGATATTGCCACATAAGGTTTATCCATTTCTTTGTCCATGACCACTTGCAGTGGAGTGCCAAAATCATTAGCAGCATTCTCTCGGTGCAATTTTCCGAAAGCAATTTCCTTAGCATTTCAGTTTAGGTTTATTCCTGTATACTGTTCTGCTAGACCCACATGCCAATTTGGGGACCAGTATAGCAGTCTGACTATGGACAGACATGGACACCAAAAAGGGTGGCTATACAGAAGTTTATCTTTGGAGAGCTTTCAGAGGAGGAAAAAAATTGAATACAGGGTGTTGATCCTTTTTGGTTAAAGAAATATGGTACTTCTAGACATACAGATAGATGCGTGTTGTTTTGTGGTGTCATATTATGGGTGCACAAAGACTTAAAGGAGGTGGATTCTTTTGGCTTTATCATGGGGCACATAAGAAAATAACCAGGAGCTGACTTGAGATAGGTACTCTCTTAGGTTTATTAGATTCAAGCCGAATTTCACAATGTCTATTTTGCCAACGCTAATATTGGTTTCTTATCCAGGAGTGTGTAATTCAAACTACTAAAAACAAATAAAACATTACAAGAAATAAAGTCTAGTCCATCTGACAAGGCTTTTGAAATCTGACCCCTCAAGGACATAGTGGGCTATTGAGTTGTGTAACATTGCTTTGGGAGTGTGGTCACTGTGTCTAGAGCAGTAACCTGTGGTTACAGTTTTGTTCTTGGTTGATCTGAAAGTACCAAATACTTGAAAGTTACCAAGCAACCTGTCCCAAATAATTAGCTACCCTTCTAATTCTTAATAATTTTTTGCAGGTTTTTTTTTCTTTGCTAAATACCTAATTTATTTTAATTTGCTGTATTACCGAGTCCCTTATCCTTGAAATAAATGGCCCACAAAAATATTCATGTACCAGACATTTTCCTGATACTGCTAGTTTAGATGGAGCACCATCTTTCAGTATTCTGCTGTAAAGTAGGTATTTGTTTTGAATGAGTCTTGTGACAGTCTTCTACATTCCAAACTTTTAAACTTTTTTTTCTGGAGTGGAAGCTTGGTGGATGTGTTTTGAGGTGTGGGTACTGAAAGGTATATTGCTTTGCTAATACCATGAAAGGATGCAAGCCTCAGTTTTCTCATCTTGTTGCCATTTTCCTCATCAGATAATAAAGCATAAGCCCACACAGGTGCACTCTCAAGTAACTGGGCCTGAGCTGTATAATCAGGCATTTCAAATTTTTGCCTGAATATTAGCAAGAGTCAGTGGGCAATTTCTGATATTATCAATCCGGGATCAACTCTTGTCTTCACAGTAAGTTACAGATGAACATTATGGATTGTCTTCTAAAAGTAAGAAATACAGATGAAGTATTTGATGTAGTTATTCAAGATTAAAAATGGTTAATGACTTCATTGGAGTACTTGATTTCAGATTATACTGTTTGCATATGTTTTGCAGTTATTTGCTTATGTTTGATTCTGGAAGTTGATGGTAAAAGTAGGGGAAGGAGAGAGGAAATGTAGGCAAATTTGGTTTTGAGGCACAGTGTGGTGAGGCTCTTGCCAGGAGTGTTTCTGCCTGCCTGTTTCTTGCCATCCCCTTTTTGCTTGGGCTACCTTATCTAGGTTAGATTTGTTTATTCACTTCTGGCTATGTTAGTTTTTAAGATGAATCAGTTGCCTGATCTGGATTTGCTGAGAAGACATGTACTGATGGAAGAGGGTGTGAATGTGGAGAGCATAGGGCTTTTCAATAAGCTTAACAGGGAAAAGCAGAATGGTGGCTGCTGCCTTTGTTCGCTGGTGGGGTGGGGGGTGATGAGTATCATTAAGGAGCATGCCTAAGGCTCTTTTCCAGCTATTTGGATGTCCGCGCAAGTTGTATATGAAATGGTAGGCCTATAATCTTCTCCGCAGACTTGCATCTACAAGGCTAGGCTAGTATTCCAGCTTGTCACCACTACACAGGTCTTCCTTAGTTGGACTCTGTTCATTTTTAAACTGAATCATTTTATTTCCTTTAAGGGAATACTGAGAATTAAGAGGGATGTTTTATCAGGTCTTGCGCAGAAATCATGTTCTGTTCTTTATGAAAACTATACATACAATAGTAAATACTAAATTAAAGAAAAGCGTTTATAACATTTTTTATAGCTGTTAGTTAAAATAATTTCTCCAAATTCTTCTCTTTAAAGTTTGCAATACAGCTTTTGCTAGTTATCATGACCTGAGTAAGGGATCCTAACTGACAAATATTGGCTCTGTAAAAATTTACACTATTTTTGCGTCTTTAGCGTGAGAGAAGTGAAAAATAACAAACATTACAGGTAGAAGTAAATACATGTTTACCTAAAAATAGCTGATGTTCAGGAATGTTTTTCTATCATTAAAACTAAACAAATTACTATTACTCTAGTACTAGTCAACTGTCCAGAATTTAGCAGTTAGTTTGCATATATGTGTATGAATAATATGATAGTGTATGTTGAAAAGTTGAATTCTTACATAAATATATTGCACACCAAGAAGGTGGTGACAGTGATCTCTCATGCTGCTGTTGGGTATCTCAATTACTAAAACTGTTGTTTTAATATGATGTAAGGTCTTTGAAATGGAAGCAATTTGTGTTTTAAGAATTTCCCACATATAGCAGTGGCATTGGTTACAAGAGGTTATCTTTTGTGATGTGGAACAAATTCCATGATTCCAAATTTATTAAAAAAATAAAACCCCACAAGCTTAATTTTTGCCTGTTTTGATTAGAATATCTTTATTTCTATAGGTACCTCAACACACAGTTTATTAAGAAGAACAAATTGACTGAAGCCGATCTTCAGTATGGTTATGGAGGGGTGGATATGAATGAACCATTGATGGAAATAGGAGAGGTAAGTATCTCTGAAAGTGGGAGTGGATATAAGCTGTATTCAGAAGTGCTATCTGTCTGGCTGTGTCCTTTTAAATTTGATTTTTCTGGGTCACAGAATCTGAATAGTTAATACAGTAGAAGGTATAAGCACTGAACCCTTTGTAAAATGAGGTTACAGTTTTGATGTAGAAAAATATAGTGATGGGGGCAAATATGAAAACTACTGGAGAGCTTCAGTTTAAAATATGATAATAGATACCACTTTGCAGAAAAAAATTGTTTCATTAAGTGATGCTACTATCTGGAAAATAATTGAAAAAGCACAGCTTTTGTTTTTGGAAACCCTTGAAGTACGACTTTTAGGCTTCTATTTCTTGATGTCACAAAATGTAACAGCTTTTTCTGAGGTTAGTCTTCTGTACCTCTTATTTTCTAGGGCAAGCTGTTTTGTACTTCTGTTCTAGCAACTTGGGTAGAGATTTTGAAAGAAAAACCAGACTTAAAAAGGCTGACAGGCTGGGGCTGGACTGAAGAAAACCACCGGAAACACACGATGTACTTTAAGTCAAGGCAGTTCAGGACTGAAAATTCTCTCAGCTACCTGTGCTCTCTCCAAAGCTTGCTAATCAGTGGTGTCTGTAAAGGCTTATCAGAGCTTGGAAGTACATATTGCTGCACTGTTTGTGATATCTCAAAATGGCATAAATGTTATTCCTTATTTCCTCAGACTGAGTTTTAGCCAAGTCTGTTCCCACAGTTGTCAAAGGTAGTTTTTAGCTCTGTGTGAATCTGTTAGTTCAGCTGCTTTGGGGGCTGGGAATAGGTCTAGGCTTGTGCTTGGTGTTGTGTGATGCTGTTGTATTAATGAATTCTTCCTGTTTCCATATTCTATGCCATTCTGAGGTATCACCTGAAGGATGGTAGTGGCTGCCTTTGTCCATAGTTTTCTGCCCTATGATATGTTTACCAATGAAGAACAAAATAATTCACCTTTTTTCTGAGTATTTTGTTTTCCTTATGTTGATGGAATCTTAAGGAAGGATAACAACTCACACTTTTCTTCAGGCTTTTCAGCAGTCATTCCTAGGATGGTACGTCCCTAGCTCATCACTTGGGCAGGTTATAGGGAGGATCAAGATTCTCAACCTATAGCTGGCAGCCTTTTTTTTTTTGATGAAGATGTTCAGATGATGATGTCTGAAATTCTACTAATGAGTTTTTCATTATCTCACTCCCTAAGACTCCCTTGCCCTTTAACAAATACTGTCTTTGTAATTGGTGGTAGTGGGAGGTGAATTTTGGATCTTGAGGCAGTAAAGATAATGTGTCTTCATTACTAGTGTAGGATTAGGTTTATGGCAGTTACTCCTTTGCCCAGAAAAGGAATGGAGGCTTGAGCCCTACACTCAAGTAGGTTAATGCATTGAATTGCAGCACTGGTTTTGGTGAATTCATTGCCCCAGAAATAAACTAGTTCACATTTCTTAACCTGCAAGGCATTCACCAAGTTTATCAAGTCTTTTTTTGAAGGCATTTTCTCCTTCATTATGGTCTCTGTGTAGGTTTCTATGTTTTATTCTTTGGATTGCACTAGTGGCTTTGATAAAGGTCTTTATAAAGAGATCAACAGTTGAAATAATGGAAGGAATTATCATTTATTCCTCTTTAGATGACTGAGATGATTTGTCCTTTATCTACCCAAGAGCAAACATGTTTCTTTTATATGTAATTCTCTTCAGTCTCAGCATGAAGTTATTTCAGCAAGAAATAATGCCCAGTGTTTGTAGAAACAGAACTGTACTCTCTATGTACTGAAGTTTCTGTCCCAGCATCACTCCTGTGTGTTAATAAAACTTTGTGAGATTTTCAGTAATCTTACACAAGTACATGCTTGCTTAGTTCTTCTCGGGTATGTAATGGTAGGTACGTATAAGACACCTGAGTTGTGTATGTGATGTGTATGGGCATGGCTTCAAACAGTTTATCATCCTGATAAGCATTGCAGACACTCAGTAATTGTTGTACTAGGAAAAATACAGGATGAGATCAGTTGATGAAAGTAGTGTGGCAGTGCCTGCAAGAGATTGAAATTTTTTTCTGTCTCTGTTAATGAATGCATGGTGAAGGATACTGCTTTTCTGAGTTGGGCTCCTATCACTGTTTTTGGACTCCTGAGTTTTCAATGATTCTGAGAGCCCTGAGCTAGAAGCTAGTTAAGATGTGCCTTCTGTTCCCACACCACTACCCTCTCCAACTTCCCAAACCAGATTCTGGAAAATGGAAGAAACTGCCATGTTCTGTATTGTCAATCTAGGTTGACAAGCAAGATCAGTCCCTGTCTTCCAAGAGAAAAACTCTCTTGAACTAGTACATCAAGTTGCTGTATTGACCTGTCTGTAGTTTATTTGACAAGAAAATTCCAGTTGGCAGCTTGAAGCTGTTTCAGATTGGTCCCTCTCACTTATGAGAGGGAGTCCCTCTCACTTATGAGAGGGACCATGATGCTAGAGACTGCATTTCAGAGACTACATTGCAGAATAGAGTTACCTGAGGCAGTCCCCTTTACCTCATACTCACAAAACATGTCAGTCCTTTTTTGTTTGTTCAGTGGTGTGTTGGTTTGGTTTGGTGGTTTTCTTGTTTATGTTTGTTGGTTTGTTTTTTCTCCAGAGCTGTTTTATTTCAGCATTGTCTGGATGAGTTCCTGTCTGAGGGAAACTGTTTTCCTCTAACTGTGCAATTGTACTGTCCACAAGGTCGAGGCAGTGAAAATCACTTCTCTTTTGATTTATAAGCAAACCTTTAGCTCTTCTTTGAACCTGCTGCTGCAGTTGGGTCAGCTTTACCTCCCAGACTTCTTTACCCTGTATTACAGCAAGGGTGCTGGATGATAGCTATGATAGACAGCAAGTTCATTTGTCTGCTCTTTAAAAGAAAGATTCGTTCCACAAGGTGGATCAGACTGGATACCTAGTTGATAGGTAGATGCCTACTTTAAGTTCATGCATACCTGGTCAATATTTTAATTTTTACAGCTGAGGTACTGTTAGTTGTGTCAAAGCTTTCTTAGCGGTAATATTCCCTCTGTCCTTACTGATCTTGGTAATTTCATTTTTTCACAGTCTGCTATTCAGTGGTAGGTGTCTTTTATAAGTCTCAGACATGCGTGGGTATTCCTCCCATATGAGGGATCTCAGTATCTCCTTTGGGTTTTAAATTTGATTTTAACTTAAGTGTACAAACTCCTTTGAATGATTGCAGTTGTATTTTCAAAAATGGTATGTTTTGGAAGCAATTACTTCAGCCACAAAAGTTTGAGATATTTTGGTCCATTTGATTGGTAGGGTGACCTATCCCTAATATGAAAGTGATTTAAATTCCATTCAAGTCAAGTATTAGCTTGCAACACTTTGCCTAAGCTGCATGCATCTTAGCTTGGAGATGCGGTCTGTGTATTTGATGTAAGGGTTCTGGATCTTTGACCTCTAACAAATTGGCTAAGAGACATTCCTTTTTGGCAGCTGAGGTTTAGTTTGCTATAATTTTTAGAAATAGCGGTGTCTGCACGCATTCAAAAACTTCAGTTAGGCATGTTACTTACCTATTACTGTGCAGATGTTTTGTTTATGTTTACACTCAAAACCCGTCCTTGTAAGATATTTGCTTATGGTCCTTATGTTCATTTGATAATCCTTGGTAGAGTGGAATCAAGGAATAAGTAAATCAGTCCTATTAGATACGTAGAAAGAATGCAGACTGGGAAGTGTGTATTCAGACATTGCCTGACTAGAAATTCTGTCTGACATTGCTAGTGTACAGATCTGTGTGATCTTTATCCAAATGCAATCAGATGTTCTAGAAGAAAAATGCTAAAATAGCATATTGACAAATTGTGTGTGTGTGAGGCAAACAAAATAATTAAGAAAGGAGAAAGAAGAGGGTATCTAACAATTTAATTTTTGATATCCTGAATGGGAACTGTGTCATCTTTGTTTTGGGTGTTTTGGGGGTGTTTTATTGGCATTTCTTGTTGACGTAAGCTTGCATTGTCTTCTGACAGCTAGCTCTTGATATGTGGAGAAAATTAATGATTGAGCCACTGCAGGCTATCCTTATCCGGATGCTCCTCCGAGAAATAAAAAAGTGAGTGCTTGTCTGTTTTTCACTTTTACCCAGTGTGTGGGGGTATTGCACTTTTTTACTTTAAAAAGCCTTGGGACTTTGAACAAATTCTTTTATGTTTTTTGTTTTTCGATGATAGCTCATTACCTGTTGATGATGGTGTTCTATCAGCTTTTCTCATTATAGCTGCATATCTGTGATTTGCATGTGTAAAAAAAGACTCTGAAAATAATTAATTTGCTGCAATCTGAGGGTAGTGATCTTTAATGTTTTGGTAATGTAACCCTTCTAATGAATGGAACTGGGGAGCAGTTAGAATAATTCTTCAGGTCTCATAGGATGCCTTTTGCCTTTTTCTCCATCTGATGCTGACTGTTAATGGATTTTGTGCTGTCAGTAAACTGAAGGACCAGGACTTACAGAAACATTTGCCAAAGCTAGAAAAGCTATGTTGCTTTGCATGGGACCCAAAATGATTCTTGCATATCTGCCAGGGAGACTTAAGCTTCTGTTTTTCTGTTGTTTGGATGAGTGACTTCACTTAACATTATTGGTACTTTACTGGAATGAAATTGAAATAAATTTTTTTGCACTTTGAGGGAACTTCCTATTTTATTTCTGAATACTTTTGTTACTCTAAAACAAAGACCCTGGTAGTTACAGTGCTTGGGACTTTTTAAGCTTTGATTTAAAACTTTTTTACTCTTTGACTCCTAATGAATCTTTTTATTTATGAGTAAACAGAAGTTCTGAAATACACTACAGGCCTTATGTGTATTTGTAAATTCCATCAGTTTCTACGCTTTTACTGCTGTTCAGGGTAGCTCTAGGCTGGGGTCCTTTTAAGTGGTTGCATGCCTGACTCAAGTGACCAGACTAGTGTAGGTAAATTGAGTGAGACAATTTGGCTGACTGAGGTTCCTTGGACAAGCACTTGGTCAGAAGAAAGCTGTATTTATAAGACATTCAAGAACTGATTTTATTACTACAATTTTATTTTTCCTTCCTGAATCAAATTTTTGGCAACTAAGTAACTGACATGATACCTCTGTCTGGTATTTCTGAAGCCAGAAAGCATTTACTTGTAGTTGTTGACTCATGTTTACTTTGTAACCAGTGTTAATGCTGCTTTATCCATATGTTTACTGTAACAGTTTATTTATGCTAGATGAAGATTCTCTAATACATGGTGAAGAAAATGCTGCTCTGGTACATCAAGTACAGCGACATGGAAGATGCATTTTAGTCAATCTGTGTATTTCATTGGTGGGTAGGAGTAGAAATCTGTTAAAACCTTTTTCAACAGACATCTGATGCCTCTTAAAATATTTACCTTGAGGCTGGCGACAGATCTCAGGATATTTAGATCAAGACTTACTGGCTTGTGCAACATAAGATTTTGAGACTGTAAGAAATTTACATTATTTGTTATTAAACCATTTGGAAAGTTTTAAATAAAACATGAGTCTGGATTTTTTTTTTTTTTCCCCTTGGTAATTAAGGATTCTTTGATGTGATCTCAAAGAAGTTAATTCAACTCGGTTTCTCAAAATACACATCTAACAATTCATATTAAGTTCTAGCCAGCGTGATCTGCGTGTCATGTAGTGAGCTAGATGGGACAGAACTTATTATAGCTGTTCTTCCTAGTATCATGAAATGTAGGGCTTGCTATGAGTATTCTGAGGATGGCCTTTCTATGTAATGGGCATATGGGCTTGTTGCTGTTCTTTGCTATAATTCTACTGGTCAGTACAGTTTGTAAGAGGCGGTTTTGAAGACACTGCTGCAAGTGACTGTTAGATGTATTTTAGCATTGAGTTCAGCAAGTCAGGGATTAAACAGCATCTTTGAAGAGATGGGTATTGAGAAGTTGCATCTGGCAGAGGTGCAAGAATATGCATGGGAAGAATATTAATTAAAATAATAAAATTACTAATATATATACTTAAACTTCTCTGTTAGATGCCTTCTGAAGTGTAGTACTTAAGTGTGTGCATGGTGTAGTTTGTAAAAATGTTTTACAGGAAAAAACCAAACCCAAACTTAAATAGATGGGACAGTTGAACTCCTTATAACCACATTTTTCATAGTATGTAATGATATGTAGAATTGATAACCAACATTGTAGTCAACTGGTTGCATATAAAAGTATGTTTATTACTGTACTGGAAAAGGTAGGGAGAGCAGAGCCATAAATTTTGCTTTGGGGTTTATTTATATATTTCATAAGAATTTTAAAAAGACAACTTCTGACAAATCTTGAGCATATCAACTTTTTAGAAGCTATAAAAATGTGAAATACACTATACATTACAATAAAATAAAATAAATCAAACTTTTTTGGTGCATAAAAATAAGTAAATACAAGTAGTGACTTGTGGTTCAGGTGAACAAGATGGCTAAGCTGGTCTAAGAGTTTGATGATGCCAAAAAAGAGCAAACTGTGCTCTTCTGCCTTTCTTGTGCTGAACTTGGTGCTCATCTAGTCCCTTAGTGAACCAGCTCAACTGCTAATATGACTGGAAACTGCCTTGGCTATTATTTCTCCCAGATTGGCATGGTGAGTTAGTTGAGCAAAGAACTGGATGAATGCTAGAGCAGTGCAAGAGAGAGAGGGCTCTGACTGAGCAAAAGGGAGCAGAATTAGCCCCTTTGTACAGCAGAGAACTGTTAAATCATTTAAGCCTGTCTTGTGTGACTGCACTCTTAATACAGAGTTTTGAATGTAACACACTTTCTTCCCCCTCCCTCTAGCCCAAGCACTCCTCCTACAAGGCAAGCTGAATCTCAACTTACGCATTTTTGTTTCAACACAACAGGAAGCCGTCAAGATCTTGAATTGTGAGAAAATTCAATTATGAAATTCTTAAATAGAAATAATTTGGAAATTGTTCAGGTGCTATCTCAAATGACGTGAGTGCTTAGTACAGACTAACCAGGAGAGGCTTCTCTACTAAAGATAAACTAACACTTCCTAACTAACTGAACCTATTCCTGTCTAAGCTGATACATTATTTACACTATTTGTTTGAAAGGAAAGCTATTGGAACTTTTTAATAGTGTTCAAAACAGGCTATTCAATTCACAGTGAATTCTATAGTTAGTTGTTCTCAATAGGCCATTGGTCTGACACAGCAGAGCAGTTCTTTTCAATAGTGGAACCTTCTTTTAATGAGTACAGTATTTATTATTGTACCTTTAAATAGGTTCTGTGGGGGCTGTAGCAGTACACTGCAGTACATGTTAAACTTCCACTGTTAGCTTCATTCTTAAGATAGGAACAAAGTGGAGTTAATATAAACCAGTACAACTTCCTTGACTTTGTGTTTTGTAGCTTTCTTCATTTCTTTTGAAAGAAGCTCATCAATATCCAACTAGTGGAATTTGCATTTTTAGCGTTTAATCTTTTTGTCCGGGTTCTGCACCAAATCTTATCTCTCCCTTCTGCCCTCCAAGATGTCCTGTGACATCGCTGCCTCAAATTTCATGCAGCTGCTCTCTAGTTGTATGCATCCAAATTGCCTGCTCACTACTGCCAAGAAAGAAAATACACATTTAATAGACCTCCGCCTTGGTGGGATTCATTTTGGTTTAGTGGATGCTTTTACTGCTACAACTTTAATGAAAATTACTCTCAAAAATTCCTTCAAATTTTGTTGGCACTAGTCATTTGCGTTACAAATTCAGAGACCATTGGTGTAAAAAAAAAAAAAATAAACAAACAACAACAAAACCCAAACCATGAAGATGCTGCCGGAGCAGGCAAAACTCATTCTGTACTGTGTTTCTTTTCATTTTTTGCCATCATGCTATTAGACCTCTGCTTGGAAAGCCTGTCTGGCCCCTTGCTACTCGTCCATGGAGCATCTACCCCCTGCACTTTTAAAGCTTTTTCCTAATGATACATTGACCTTTGAATCCCCTGGGACTTACCTTTTCTGCCCCCTTTCCTCCTGCATCTGCAGGGGGGAAGTCTGTGTAGTGGCCTGTGAACCAGGTAGCGGGGAGATGAGTCTTCATCTGTTACTACAGTAATTCTTTGTGTGTTTGTGTCACTGGTATCTTTCTGTATCCAAAACCCCCATATACATGTACCCCAACCCCAGGTGCACTGGCCTGTCTCTTGACAGAGCCCTACTTTGTAATATGCTGAACTTCTAGTTACTTAGCTTTCCACTCTCAAGGACATCCTGCTATGTTCATAAACTGCATGAATCCTGCAGCAGGCCATGCTCCTGGACCTCCCAGGGTGGACCTGGGTCCAGGCCCTGCTCTGGTGCATCAGTTCTTCCCTTCTGTGGTATGTTTCTGCCTCTGCCATTGTATAACCAGGCCCAGCAGAGGGACTTCGGCAAGAATGCAGGGTATGATTATATGTACCTAAACACAGGTTTATTCCATTAGTTCAGCTACCAGAACCACAGGAAACCTTTCTGTGCCCCTGGAGGAAATGAGACCGTCCCCTCTAAAACAGTTACCCAGGAGGTCAGCTCATTTGTAACAGGTGACCAAGCTGTGTAAACCATACAGTAACTGCTTGTGATTTGTTAGAGCACTAGTTTTTTCCACCCATCATGGGTATATGGTAGTATTTAAAAGCAATGTACATTATTAACAGTGTTGTGAACATGTGACTGTGTTCAGGTGTATGTATGCTGCTGTGGTTGTCCTGGTAAACCTCTGCAGCTTATGCTCTTGGGCATTCTCTAGAAGTTTTATCAATTTCAAACCAAAATGAATAAAATTTGCAAAATTATTTCTCCCCTATTCCACCCCAGCCTAGATGGGTGTATGGTAATGCTTGGGTGTGAAGCATTTTTGCTGGCTTTACTTCTTTTTTTTTTCTTTCAATTTTTTAAAATCATATTAATGACTTTCCTATATCGGCATAGATTTCTAGCAGATAACTCATTTTATCTTTTCAGTGCAGTCTGGGTAAAATTAAAAGTTCTATATACATGTATGTGTGTGTACATTTGAAAATTAAAACCTGTGCAATTATAATGGCTGATGCTTAAGTGTAAATACACCTTTGTAAATCATATTTTAGTATTACTTAATACCTGAGGAGCTAAGGAATGCTTTTTACGTCTTTGTAAAGTGTATGTAAAAGGTGGTCTTTTTCAGAACAGTTGATGTTTTAAGTAAGTTGCTGCTGCTGCTGCTGCTGCTGCTCTAAGTCTGGGTCCATTATTTCCTGTCTTTGCAAAGGAATGAACACTAATGGTTTTAGCATGCAAAGCACTTGTTTTGATTACTTTTGTTTTCAACTGAATGAGACTAAAGATAATATTTTCTTCACTTGAACTCGCTCATTTGAAGCTAAGAACTTGGCTGAAAAATGTAAGGTTTCCTTTTCAAATGTATGATTAACAATTGTGATGATGCTTCAAGTATTTTATTTGTTCCACTTGACAACTGTGTGTTGAGTAGTAGATATACAGAAAAGAAAATAGCATGCTGCTTGCTGTCATGCTGACAAAAATTATTACTGGGGTTTTTTTTTTGTTTTTGTTTTTTGGCAGGGGCAGGAGTGTAAAGGTAGTCTATTTAATAAATGCTACGAATGCAAGATAGAACTTAATGCAACTTTTAAAGTACTTGTTTAGAGTATGTAATTTGGAATACTTGTATCCTTAGCAAAGACTTGGAAATTTCATGACCTGCAAATGCTTTTGAACAGTTTATGAGTTGTTATCTCAACAATTTAAATGTATAGGAGAGAAAGAAGAGTGCGTTTTCTTCTTTTGAGATTAATCCGCAGTTTTGCCAATTTAAGCAGAGGAATTAACTGGAAAATGCTTTCATCCAATTTTATTTCATTTGGCTATCAGAGAAGTTGCACTAGATACCTACATTCTCATGAGTGTTCGCTTTGCCTATTTCAGTGATCGCTGTGGAGAAGACCCAAACCAGAAAGTAATCCATGGGGTTATTAACTCCTTTGTTCATGTTGAACAGTATAAGAAAAAATTCCCCCTAAAGGTAGATACACGTTTCTGACTTTTTAAATTTTTTAATTAACCTAGTGTATGCATTGTTTGTCCTTTAAAAAAAAATCTCCCTTTTAGTTTTATCAGGAAATTTTTGAGTGTCCTTTTCTGAGTGAAACAGGGGAGTATTATAAACAAGAAGCTTCAAATTTATTGCAAGAGTCAAATTGCTCACAATACATGGAGAAGGTAAGAGACTCTTCTGTACATATGCAATAACTGAAATCTGATGTTATCAACTTACTGATTATACATCTTTTCCTGTACAGCTTCCATAAATCTTTGTTGTATGCTTTTGTGCATACTGTACTTTTTAGTGTCATGGTTAACCTGAGTATAAACTACAAACTTTGCCCATGGATGGACTGTCAGTTTTAAAATATTTTGTAATAAATTATAACTCAATTTCATTAAAAGTAAAAAAAGGAAAACAAAAAAGAAGGCAAAGCCCAATTCATGTATCGAGTTGATGAGTATTGCTTCCTCACTTCCATATTTTCCTTCTGTTTGTAGTAGCATGAGTTCTAGCAACATAATGGTTAGAGAAGGTTATATGATAGAGGTGTTACAGAGCATTGTTAAAAATTATATACTCTGAGTGAATTTTCTTTTGTTTTGCCTTGTGGTGCATGAAGTCAGGTTGTGGTTAAATTGCTTGTAATTCTTATACCTTGCTCATGAAAGCAAAGATTAATACAAGACTAGGAGTCAGTCCTCAGTGGTGTGCTGTCCACACTAACAAGATAAGTTGAGAAGGCTGTGAGATTGCTTTCAACCACAAGGAACAAAAGCTAATGGTTGCACACCTGAGGTGAAATTCGGGAACAGGCTAAGACTTCAGGGAAACCAAAAGAAATGCAGATTCAGTTCGTCTGTCATTAGCAGCCTACAGCTGCCCTTCTCTCCTTAGGCTTCCCTCACCTTCACCAGATATAATTACTTTTATGTCAGTATTCCTATGACTTATTTTATAATAATGCCTATTTCCTTCATTAAAGTTATAAAGAAAGTTTTTATTGATAGCTCAGGTGTACTCCTATACCTTTTGAGTAGATGTTTACATACAAGCATGTGAGTTTGGAACAGTGAAGTGACTCTTACAATCATATAAGTAGGTGGTGTGGTAAAACTTTCTCCGGAGGAGTAGAAAGTGAAGTAGGAGAAACTGGGAAGGACAAAGTTGAAGGGAAGAAGAAGTTTTGACAACTACTGACTGCTGTTAGTCAGCCTGATTCAAAAGAGCAAATTTAATTTTTCATCATCCTGGACAAGTTCTTTTTTAAAGTGCGTTACTTATTTGTGTGTCTCATTCTACATACATAAATTGCTGTATATTCGTGGTTCTATACTGGTTGTTAGTATTTCATCAGCTCTCAGTTTCCAAACTTGTTTGTAGGTTTTGGGTAGATTAAAAGATGAAGAAATGCGGTGTCGGAAATATTTGCATCCCAGCTCATATGGCAAAGTAATTCATGAATGCCAACAGAGAATGGTAGCTGATCACTTGCAGTTTCTACATGCAGAATGTCACAATATTATCAGACAGGAGAAAAGAAGTGGTAAGTCTCAGTGGCCACAGAAAGTGGAAATCGTTTTTGTTTTCTTCTTTTAGCATTGCCGTTTGCTGTCTTTATTTAGTGACCTTCGATGTGCTTAAGCATTTTCAGCTAGTACTAGTACTGTTACCTAGAAAGCCCAATTAAAGCTTGAATGACATTTTTCTTTTACCATGTAATACATTCTTATTCTTCTAAATATCTAGTCAAAGCATTCTTTTACTGTTAACAGCCCTTTTTTTGACCAATACTCTTTCTCTTTCTTTGTCTTAGTTGCCTTAAAAACACATTGAAGTCCTGTGTCCTGTAGAATTGATCATATTTTATGCTTGTGTCTTCATTTGTAAACCAATGACTCTGTCTTTACAGATTCTTCATCATCATAATGAGTTAGGATTATAAAATACTTTGGCTTCTTTTCATAGCCACTTTTTATTGTCCTGAATCTTTTGTGACCTTTCATCTGAGATTCTTTTTATAAGGGGAGATGCTCTTATAGTTGTATTCCCTGCCTGACTAAAAGAAACTTGCTTCTTGATGACTACATGCCATTTACCCTTGAAAGAATGCTTATTCTTTCATGGAAGATGGTATCCCTTCTGTGAAACAAATTATTTTTCACAGTCAAACTCACATTGTATCCAGTAGTAGTGTTCAATTTCCAAAGAGTTTGGCCAATTTGATCAGAGCTTTGTTACTTAAGAAAGAAAAAACAAAACTCATTTAAAAAAAAACCACACGCAAACAGTTGCTTATTTACAGCTATTCTAACTTGAGAAAAATTTTAAGCCACCACCATGTCAAGTAGATACCTAATTAATTTTACTGAGCTGCTGCTAAGGGAGATTTAGTGAAGCCAAGGATAAAAATAAGCTGGCACAATACTTTTCCATAGTAGCACACATCTCCTCTTGGAGTTTCTCCTAAATAAACAGTACTGGGAGAGTGACTTTGTCACAATGGCAACACTCAGTAAATACTGATAGTAGCCCTACTATTTCTCTTTTTGCTTTTGTCAGCGATCCAGTGTATGTTAATTTTTTATTATTTTTTTTCAGAACAGTTGGTCAAGTTTCAGTCCTTGGAAAGTTCTGTGTAAAATGGTAGTACTATATTAAGTGTTGATTTTTAGTGTTTCTAAGCATATTCTATAAAAATGTATCTCTATTACAGACATGGCTAATATGTATACTCTGCTTCGTGCTGTGTCAAGTGGTTTACCTCATATGATTCAGGAACTACAAAACCATATCCATGATGAGGGCCTTAGAGCAACCAGCAATCTTTCTCAGGAAAATGTGAGTTTCCACAGGCAGCTGAAGTTACCTGTTTGATTAACTTTCCAGATGAAATGTTTACCCTTTTCTTTTTAGTCTGTTCTGTTTTGGGTTGTTTTTTTTTCTAATTTTGCCTGTATGAAATTAGTTTGGAACATTATGGATAAATTGTAACTTCTGATCAGCACACTTAGCTGTGCGACACATACCTATCCTGAGAGTTGGTTGTTGTGATCTAACCCAGAAACAACTACAGCTAGAAATTTCTCGTTTGTTTAATGCTGTCATGGCAAGTAGGTCCTTTTGTTCTGTGTATGTATTTTTTTTTTCCTGAATTTCTCTAAGTCAGTGGCATTTGCTGTTCTTGCACCTAAGGAACCAATGATTCCATTTAGTTATTACATGTTATTTGTAAAGGCTTGACATCATGTCCTCATTTCAGTGTGGTGTTTTTCACTAATAGCTTTTTGGTCTCATATTTTTGTGTAATTTCTGAAAATACTGTAGCTAAATTATTTTACTAAAGTGTGTTACGCTTTTTTCTGTTCATGTGTATTTAGATTACTCTGTTCCATTTTTCGTTCCTCCAGCATTGCTGTTCAGAAACAAACAAGCTTTCATCTGGCATTATTTTTGTGCATGTGTACATCTTGCTGTCTAGATCTGTGATCACTTTCAGATGCTGACTTATCCACCCAGTGTTTCTGTCTGTAATAATATATAGATACAAACTGTTGTAAATTCACTCTTTTATTGACTGCACAAGAGTTCTTACTCTCCTGTGACTCCTGTGTGCATACTGAAAATGGGCTAAAGTCTTCAGTAGTATATTTTGCTTTGAGATTGTTTGTACATTTATTGAGTTTATTCTTTCAAACTAAGTGTCTACATAGGGAAATGAATGCAGAGCCATAAGGGTGATGCAGCTTCATAGCCGTATGTAGATAAATTCAAAATGTGAAATACTTGCTGCACTGTGTGGATTAAGTACTTTGTCATCAAAACATTTTTCACGTGTGATCTGAGAATGCACTTAGGCTATCATGTGATACAGCCAGTGCATTGCACACTGTTGCATTGCTGCCTACCTGTTTGTCTGTATAGGGACTCCTCTAAGTCATATTGGTCATTTCTGTACAAAAAGTGTACTGAAATGTGGTGCACTAAATTAGATTGATAACTATCCTACATAAGAAAATTCAAAGGGTTCATCCAGATTTTCTGTCTCTGAAGTCAGTGTGTAGGAGAAGCAGCAGTTCACTTATTTCAGTAGCTTTTTGGCTTGATTGCTGTATTTCACAGAATCACAGTATCATTATTTTAGGGTTAGCGTCAAGATTTTTGGGTATGACGGCAAAGTGTAGACAGCATGAGAGCAGTATAGACTCAAATGTCTGTAAATGTAGCCATACAGTCTTCTTTCCAAAACATACTCAATCAGAGTAGTGTAAGAGGACAGCAATGCAGGATTAATCCTCTCAAACACGTAATCACTGCGATTTTAACTTTTACCGGAAAGAATAATTAGGAAAAAATGTACAACTAATGTAGATATATTTGTGTGTAGATAATATTTTTCTCATTAACTTGCTTTCTGTTTTATCTGCTTTTTTCAGATGCCAACTCAGTTTGTGGAGTCAGTTTTGGAAGTACATAGTAAATTTGTTCAGCTCATCAACACTGTTTTGAATGGTGATCAACACTTTATGAGTGCCCTTGACAAGGTAACTTAAATAAAAAAAAGCATTGGAAAACAAAATGTGAGGCCCTGTTTCAGGCTTACCAAAATTCTTCAGGACATCAGCACATGTTCAGGGATGGCGTTCTTACGCAGTTTTTCTAGTTTAGATATGTAATCAAACAAAAGACGATCCAGTGTTTAGAGAAAAGATACGTACGAAGGAGACCACTTTAATACGTAAATCCGTTCTGAACAAAATACCTTTTTTTCATTGTAATTCAAACACAAAAATGGAGCTGACCCTTTTAATGTAAATCTAAGTGCCAGTAATAAATAGATAAATGGAGTGGTTTTGGGTAGCTTGATAATGCTTCTGTGCATTTGAACTTTGATTTGCTTGCTGCCATAATGTTTAAAATCCTATTTATAATTTCCTGTCTAAGGATGCATGCATACATTTCGTTGTTCTCTTGTGTTTACAGTAATTACAGTTTGGAGGTAAGGTCATAGTCTAAGATTTGATAATTTTCAGCCAACATTAATCTGGAAAGACACGGTGATGAATACATCAGTAATAATATCAATAGTAGTTATCCATCTGTATTTGTGCTTTTGAGAAAATAATTGTTTATTATTTTAAAAGAAATACTTATTTTAGTACCCTAATACATTTCTGTCTCAGTTGCAGTTAATGTCATGTACCAGAAGGTGGAGTAATACGAGATTGCCAGCTATATTTGCTGGCACATATGCAATGTACTTTTCCCTTAAATACATCAACTCTTCATTTCAGTGATTTTGTTACAATAAATATTTGAAATCTTAATTTGCTGTCAGTTTTTCATGGTGGATGTCAAAACTGCTACTGTGGTCTTTAGTAGTATTGCAAAAGAGTGGTCAAAACATCAAAGAGTTTGCTATTTCTTATCAAGTCATGCATTCGTTTCTCACAGGGATTCTAGGGACCTATTATCAAATATTGGAATGTTGAGGCATTGTACAAAAGCTGCTTAACAGTTTTTCTTTATAATAACAAAAATAATGTTTGTTACTATAAAGGAACTATAATTCCTAGGATCTATGGTCATACAGTATTTTTGTTTCAGTATTGGTTTAAAACGCTAATTTAAATGTGATATGTAGTTTAGAAACTAACCTTGATGATTCTGATATCGTTGTTTACAATTTCCAGTTCTAAACTTCCATTATCTGCTTCTTTTTCATCGTATCCTGATTTTCTTCACCTACCATACTTTTTGTACTGCATTGCTTTGAATTTCCACTTTCAACAATATTTTTTCTCCTCTTTTGTATACCAAAAACTCCAAAAACCAAAAGATCTTTCCATTCTTACTGTTGTGAGCACACCGTGTATGTTTTTGAGCTCAAGATACATGCTGTTCATGTAAGCTGCTCTTGATGTGCTGCTGCTCAAATCTCCTTTATCTGCAATTATTCCTTGGTTCCTTTCTTTGGGACCATACGTAGTGGTGTGCACCAAAATCTTCATACTTCTAGGTTTAAGTTTTTAACCAGAACTTAATTGGTTCTGCTGCTTTCTGTAATTAATTTCTGTTCCTCTGCTTTTTCCACTTAGAAACATTCAACACGCACATTCTTACAGAACAGTAATTCAAACCCTTTTATTAATTGTTTCTCTTTGATTCCCTTTTGTGTAGTTCAGTTTTATAGGGTCTGAACTTTTTTTTTTTTAAATTTCTTCAAATTTTATGAAATAAGAAGTTCTAAGCAATTTACATTTTTTCTCTTTGCTCTGTCTTCCTATGTAGGCTTTGACATCAGTAGTTAACTATAGGGAGCCGAAGTCAATCTGCAAAGCACCTGAGTTGGTAAGTGATACACAGAAAGTACTATTTTTTAATACTGTCAAATGGATTGGCAGGGAGTCCATCACACAGATGATTTCTTGCACTAATTAATCGCAGTGGCGTTTTTCAGTAGTAAGGAATAACTTAACCTGCGTGCACATTTTGTGGGTTGGTTTTGATGCAGTTTTTATACAGATTTTGTATTCTCTGTAAATATATGTATTGTTCTCTGATGAATACAGCCCTTGTAATAGAAAATGAGGCTGTAGACTGTGACTTACTTCATGCTTCAACTCTTGTGTAGAAGTTTGGTCTACCTTGGCATACATTTATTCTCAAGCTTGACAAGTAGGTTTGTGTTTGTTTTTCCTTTTTTTAACTTGAGCTGGCCAAGTACTGTGACAACTTGTTGAAGAAATCAGCAAAGGGAATGACAGAGAATGAAGTGGAAGACAAACTTACAAGTTTCATTACTGTTTTCAAATACATTGATGACAAAGATGTATTCCAAAAGGTAACTTTTGATACTCAATAAACTTTAATGTTTAACTTAAATGTGGTTATGGTTTTAAAAATCTTCATGTCTTATTTCTTTTTATCTAGTTCTATGCCAGAATGTTGGCAAAAAGATTAATTCATGGTTTGTCTATGTCTATGGATTCTGAAGAAGCCATGATTAACAAACTAAAGGTAATGTAATATTCTAATGCAGAATAAGCAGACCTAGCAGTATGTAATGTTGAGAGGAAGCAGCAGATGGTGCCAGAGATAATTGAGCAGTTAATTGATCTTGTTTCCAGTAGCTGAAAGGAAAAACTAATTTCTTAGTAGTCTGTGAAAGATACACAGCTAAGTAGCACCAACGCATTTGAGATTTTTATGAGGTTTTGGGTATTTTTATTAAGGACATTCAAATAATTGATATTTGCATTTAAAAAAGTACCAAGGACCTTCATAAACTATCTTTCAGTTTTATAAAACAATGTTGTTCATGTAAGTCTATAGAAAGTCAAACTGAAGTAAATCTTGGGTTTTAGTGTTTGTTTTCTATTGTAGCTAGTGTTCTTCGTAAATTTTATAACAATGCTTTTGCAAACTATTTTTTCCACATATTAGTAGTGAATGTGAGTAAGTACTGTTTTCACTGTAAAACCTGTTACAATGTTTCTTCACAGCAAGCCTGTGGTTATGAATTTACCAGCAAGCTCCATCGAATGTATACAGACATGAGTGTTAGTGCTGATCTCAACAATAAATTCAACAACTTTATCAAAAACCAGGACACGATTATAGATTTGGGAATTAGTTTTCAGATATATGTTCTACAGGTACTAATGTATGTTTATTACTATTGAGTTATTTGTACTTAATTTTTATATTTTGATAACATTTTGAGCCATTTTCCATGAATAGTTCTCATATGGAAACTAACACTTTGAGATTTTTGTGGAATAATTAATTTTCCTAGTGTTTCTTATTAGAATTAACCTAATGTTACAGTAAAGAGTAATGACATAAAATGCCTTGTGTTTCTTGTCTTGAATTAATACCTCAGTGGGGCATGCATAATGAGCAGTAAAAATTCTGGTGGATATTGCTAGTCTTATGGCATAACATATAGAGCTGTCTAATAGAGTGGGGTTTTTTGTAGTGTATATGTTGCATGAAAATATTAATACTTTTATTTTTCCTGGTACCTTTAGGCTGGTGCATGGCCTCTAACTCAGGCTCCTTCTTCTACGTTTGCAATTCCTCAGGAACTGGAAAAAAGTGTACAGATGGTAGGTTAGTAGGAGACTTCTTGTAAACATGGAAAATGTAAAATAACTCCAGATAAAAGATCATCAGTCTAACAGAGAAAAACCTGAACTGCTTCATTTTGTTTGTAAATCATGGCTATCTTGTTTCCAGTCCATATTAAAGTTGGAGAGGTCACCTAAATGATACACTGAATTTATATATGTATTTGCATAGCTTTTATTTTTTGCATGTCTTCTACTTTTCATGATTGATGAAGGGGATACTACTAAATACAGTCAAATGAACTGGCTTGATGTAACCTTTGAAACCAATTCTTCATATTTAGATAAAAAAGGGTTTTGTTTCTAATATTAAATTGGATCAGATTTAATAGTGGATGAAAATGTAGATACAGGTTTCTTGTCCTGTAGTTCGTAGGAGCCATTCAAAATTGAGCTTTGCACGAAACTTCTTTAAAGCTAATTTTACAAATTCTTAAGGCAGTAAAGGTTTTACTTTGGCCAAATGTTCTCTTTTTATGTGATGATTTCTGCTTTGTGGAGGTCAAATATTTTATTACTTTTCATTATATTATGGTGCTCTAAATGTTACCTCTGCAGTGTTTGTGTTAAAATACAGAATATATGTGTTGATCTTTGCTGAAGTGTATTTAATGTTGAAGTACATTTTAGGTAATTAAAAATTACATTATTTGATACAACAGATTTTTTTAAAGCAGTTCTTATATCTTAAATTGATTTAAATTATAATGGGAAATTTCCGTGTCTGCCGTGAAGGAGCTTTTCAGTGTATTGCTACGAAATATTAGAACTATTTATTCTGCTTTTATTTCCAATGTATTAAGTGGCGCTTGGTTTTAGCAGTGTAACAATTTCCAGCCCATGCTATGGGATCCACAGAAGGTGATTGATGGCATTTTGCTGTTCTTTGTGAGCTTGAAGTAGGAGCATTGTCAGTCATGCCTGAGTTGGAAAATTGTTACGGATTTGCATATGAGAAGCAGCTCAGAGTCTGGGTTGTGTGCCTAACTTCACTATTGAAGTTTGTTTAAAGGAGCAATTCATGTGTTGCCTGTCTAGAATTAATGCTCTAAATTATACTTCTTATTCCTTGAGGAAACAGAGCATAACCTTGGGGAGTCTTTGAAAAATGGACAATGTCTGTCTTTGCTGTCAAATTTGATCATTGATCCATCAAAAGATAGTTCTCTCAGTATTCTGGCCAGGATATAGAAAGAAGAAAAACCATTCTGTAGCTGCACTGGAAAGCACCTCTGTATCTGGGCAAATTGTTCAGCAGCTTTTTCAGGCTCCAAGCCTTCTGGAGCTTCCTGTAAATATAGATTTATTTGAAGGTATACAAATACTAGTTTTCATACTATGTAAGCTTGTGGGTGGAGAAACACCTGAATTTTCAAGTCCCCCTTTTTGGATTTTTCTTTAATGTTCAAGTTGCCAGACCAAATCAGAGTAAACCAAATTGATGTGTACACAGGAATTTCTGGATTGATTTTAAATAAGATATCAAAGCCATGGAATACAGAATGATTTCACCAATGTGAAAAAATAAAAATACAGTTGTTTTTATATGGAATTGGTAGGAACAGAATAATAAAACCTCACAAGATTGGTTGCTAAAACCTCCTAGAAATTAAGTTCAGTAGAGTTGATACTTCCTGCAACATTGTTCAACTACAGTATTTTATACTTTGAGAGCATGAGTGTGTCAACAATCTTTTTGATTTAATCATCAAGTGATATGTTAATATATTCAAGTGTTTTGGTAAATGGCTGATGTTTAGTCATCACCCATCTTCTAAAGGAAATTCTGTCAAGAATTGGTCTGCAATGTTTGCATCCAATATGGTGTGCATAAAGCCAGTATTTCTTCTCTGGGGTGGTAGTGTGATAATAAGCTATTGTAAGTAGTTATATGTGAGACTAACTGAATTTCATTTTGTTTTGCAGTTTGAATTATTTTACAGTCAACATTTTAGTGGAAGGAAGCTTACTTGGTTACATTATCTTTGTACAGGTAAAAATAAGTGCTTTGCTAAACGTATGCTCTATACAACCAACAATTGTTTGTTAAAAGTTCTTTTCAAATGGCAGCAGACATTGGAGTTGGAACATTATGTTGCCTGTAAAGTCAACTGACTTATTTTGAATTATAAATAATTATTTGCTGCTTAGTATTTCCATCATTTGTTTTGTAAACTTGCATATGTTATCTGTGATCTACTAGTTCCAAGTAAAACTAGAATTATACATTATTAACTACAAAACAGTACTGCAAAACTGCAGAGTTAAAAATAATTGCCCTGGAATTGTTTCTGTAGCATTAGACGTCCTTTAGTTGAATAATAAATAATGCTGTGATAATATTTTATTCGGATATTTAAGTGAAGTATTTATAGTTATGTTTTTATTTACTGTATAGAAATATGTGTTAAAAAACATCTTAGTATATAAAATTGTTGTTTAGTTTAGTAAGTATCAGTCAATTGTATTTCATTTCAGGTGCTTTCAGTATCAGGTTTTAATTACTGAGCACCACAACATACTACATGGAGGTGAAAACCAGACTAGCATACAACCATATAATGTCATGAAAATTTAGGTCTGATAATAGAAGTTTGCCATTCATTCACACTTACCTTCACACAGAAAATATAAATCTGCTTTCAGGCAGATTTCTTCAGAGCTTTTTGCTTTTTCTCTTCCCTTCCCTTCCCCTCCCCCAGAATCACAGAATCCCAAGGGTTGGAAGGGACCTCAAAAGATCATCTAGTCCAACCGCCCTGCAAGAGCAGGGTAACCTACAGTACATCACACAGGAACTTGTCCAGGCGGCCCTTGAATATCTCCAATGTAGGAGACTCCACAACCCCCCTGGGCAACCTCTCCTGCTCTTCTCCTGCTCTTCTCCTGCTCTTCTCCTGCTCTTCTCCTGCTCTTCTCCTGCTCTTCTCCTGCTCTTCTCCTGCTCTTCTCCTGCTCTTCTCCTGCTCTTCTCCTGCTCTTCTCCTGCTCTTCTCCTGCTCTTCTCCTGCTCTTCTCCTGCTCTTCTCCTGCTCTTCTCCTGCTCTTCTCCTGCTCTTCTCCTGCTCTTCTCCTGCTCTTCTCCTGCTCTTCTCCTGCTCTTCTCCTGCTCTTCTCCTGCTCTTCTCCTGCTCTTCTCCTGCTCTTCTCCTGCTCTTCTCCTGCTCTTCTCCTGCTCTTCTCCTGCTCTTCTCCTGCTCTTCTCCTGCTCTTCTCCTGCTCTTCTCCTGCTCTTCTCCTCCTGCTGTTACTATTTTCTCTTTGCTTTCTTTTCTCTTTTTTTCTCTCTTCCCTCTTCTCTTTTTTTTTTTTTAATATTAATATTGTGGAGGAAAAAAAAGAAGTAATGGACAAGTCTTTTGTTTTTAAATCTTACCTTGAAACAACTTTCATGTAATCATTATTCTGTCATTCTGTGTAAGCTCTTACTAATTGGAGTTGATGTCTTGAGGCTATTTGGAACTTCCTTTTTTAATTTTTTTTTCTTACTATAAATTATATTATATTATCCAAACTCAACAGTGTAGGCTTCCTTTTGTAATTGAAAACGCGGTTGCTCAAGTATTCATAAAAAAAGAGGGCTTTTCTGTTGCAGACCACATTCTATAGAATAAAAACATCAGTTTGCATCTTCCCATTCAAAGTGTTAAATGCATACTTAGGTGTGAGTTGACTGTCTGGAAATGTAGGAGGAGCTCTAATAGTTAGGCTTCAGGTGACTTTTCAGCACATTCCATTGGTTTATAAAATACTACTTGTATCATTACAGGTGAAGTAAAAATGAATTATTTGTGCAAACCTTATGTAGCCATGGTCACAACATACCAAATGGCAGTGTTGCTTGCCTTCAACAACAGTGAAACTGTCAGTTACAAGGAGCTTCAGGATAGTACACAAATGAACGAGAAGGAACTGACAAAAACCATCAAATCCTTGCTTGATGTTAAAATGATCAACCATGACTCAGACAAGGTAATGCAATAATAATATAAAAGAGTTTAATCTTTTCAGACTTGTGATTCTAATACTTGTGGGTTTGGTGGAGGGTTTTTGATATAAAAGAATCCACTGTTTGCTTTTTCTTTTTTTCATAAACTGTATTATTGACCCTTGTGAACAATTAGAAATCTGTATTTATAAGGAGGAAGCAGACTTATCTGTGTCATGTAGGTTCTCTGTGCCTGTAACAGCATAGTATGCTGAAAAGGTAATAATTGTTTATTGTTTCTGTTGCATTTCATCCGTATGGCTTTAGACTCACTGCTGTTGGGGAAAATACTCTTTGACTACACCATTTTCAGAGTTGTACTGGATCCTGGAAAGGAGCCAGAGTAGTAAACTAGAGAGTCTTAGAGACATTCTAAAAAAAAAAAAAAAAAAAAGGAAAATACTGTGGTATTAGGAGACTGAAAGTGATGGCAACCATGTTAGAATCATAGAATTGTTAGGGTTGGAAAGGGCCTTAAGATCATCTAGTTCCAACCTCCCTGCCATGGGCAGGGACACCTCACACTAAACCATGTCACCCAAGGCTTCGTCCAACCTGGTCTTGAACACTGCCAGGGACGGAGCATTCACAACGTCCCTTGGCAACCTATTCCAGTGCCTCACCACCCTAACAGGAAAGAATTTCCTCCTTATATCTAATCTAAACTTCCCCTGTTTAAGTTTTAACCCATTACCCCTTGTCCTGTCACTGCAGTCCCTAATGAAGAGTCCCTCCCCAGCATCCCTATAGGCCCCCTTCAGATACTGGAAGGCTGCTATGAGGTCTCCATGCTGCCTTCTCTTCTCCAGACTGAACGGGCCCAACTTTCTCAGCCTATCTTCATATGGGAGGTGCTCCAGTCCCCTGATCATCCTCGTGGCCCTTCTCTGGACTTGTTCCAACAGTTCCATGTCCTTTTTATGTTGAGGACATCAGAACTGTACACAATTGTACATGCTGTACAACTGTAAACAAAACTTTGTTTGTGGTTAAGGCAATAGCTGATAGAGGTTCTGTTTTTGACTCTGCCTCATGCTTCTGTATGACTTACATGAAACCAGTTACCCTTTTCCTGTACAGCAGAGGGCACAGATGTCTGTCATGTAAGAAACACTGCAGAAGTGCCTGCACATGCCACACAAACTTTAGCGTGAGTTTCCAGCTAGCCAAGAATGCCTGTTACTCAGACAGTATCAGGCGGGAGAAACTGAGATAAGCTGTTCACTTATGAGAAAAAGAATCCAAAGCTGCTCTGATAGCTGCTTTTTTTTTTAACCAGGAAAATATTAGAAAATGGAAAGTGAGATCACAAGGAAGATCTGATGCTTGGCTGAAGCATAGGAGATGCTTCCAATATCTAGAAATGAGCTCAGGTTGGAACAGTGACTGGGAAGATGTCTGTTAAACCATGGGTGAAATGTAGCACTGGGAGCTATTACAGAAAACAGTGAGATTTTTTCATAATCTTAGAAAGTTGCCCATTATTTAAAGGATTTGCATTTATTTGTGTCTGTTGTATAAGTTTCTTTAAGCTTACGTCATTGAAGCGTGAATGGCATGGCTTTCCAACCCTTTTACCTTTTAGTATTTGCCACTGCATTTTCTGGTTCTTTAACTTCCAGGCTATTGTATTCAAACATCTCTGCTAATTCTGTTTGCTTTGCACTCCATTCAGCAATGTGAAAGGAGATCTGTAGACAACCTATCAGCTTACTTATTGAATAAGCCAGTGAACTTCAGTGGCTTAAGCAGTGAAATTAAATACACTAACTTCTCTTTACCTGTATCTGAGCCATATAGAAAAGTACAGTTTATGTACAGTTTACAGTTTTGTTGTAGTTTGCTTTTGTTTAGTTGTTTTGGGTTTGTTTGGGTTTTGTTGTTTTTTTTTTGATAGAAGGAAAACAAAAGAAAACATTGGAGTCATGCTTTTTGAGTTCATGCACAACACAATTTATTTTGGTTTATATTCAACCATGTCAGCAGAATAATGCTAAAATTAGTGTTAGTTTATATTTTTTTAAAGCTTTTGATCTTTGTCCTTTGTTGAATTTTCTATACCATTCTTGGATATTATAAAATATAATGCAGAATATAAAATTAAAATTAATATTGGTTTGGATATAAATTTAGATAAATATTGACTGTGTTCACTTAAGTATTTGCACTTGAGTTTTGACAAGATTCCAAAGTCTCAGAAGCCCAGTACCTTTATTCTGCTGGAAATTGGTAATACTTCTTGTCACGGTTTAGGGCCAGTGGGTAACTCAGCACCACTCAGCCACTTGCTCAAACTCTCCCTTCCCTCCCCACCCTAGGCAGGATGGGGAAAAGTGAAAGAATGTAAAACCCCACGAGTTGAAATAAGAATGGTCCAGTAACTAAAGTATAATATAAAACTGCTGCTACCACTAATGATAAGGGAAACAACAAGGGGAGAGAGTATAAAACTAAAAGGGGAGAGGAAAAAACCCAGTAAACACAAGTGATGCACAGTACAGTTGCTCACCAGCCATTGACCAATGTCCAGCCCAACCCGAGCAGCAATCTGGGCCTTCCAGGTAACTGCCCCGTGTTTATATACTGGGCATGACATGCTGTGGTATGGAATACCTCTTTGGCTAGCTTGGGTCAGGTGTCCTGTCTGCTTCCTCCTGGCTTCTTGTGCCCCTCCTCACTGGCAGAGCACAAGACTGAAAAAGTCCATGATCAGGGTAAGCATTACTTAGCAGCAACTAAAACACTGGTGTGTTATCAGCGTTGCTCTCAGACTAAAGCTGAAACAGCACTGTACCAGCTGCTAGAAAGGAGGAAAAAAATAACTCTTACAGCTGAAACCAAGACACTTGTACAGGCTTTTGCCTGGAAACTACAAAGATCAGTTGAATATAAAGGTGTTTGGGCTGCAGGGAATAGTTGCCATTTATTGAAAGAATTGGACTTTTACATGTGGAATAGAGTTGAGATTCTGATAGGAAAAAATCAGAAATGTACACATAGATGTGGAACCGTACAAGTTGCAGTTTGTCAACTTTTTCTTCTATAACATAACAAAATGCTTAGATGTTTTTCTGTACATTCTGGAAGGCAACATCAGTAATAGTTATGAAAGCAACAGTTCTCTCTTGAGCTTCTGCTGTAAATAAATGCAAATCCTACTTTCCTTGCAGGGAAAAATGAGTTTAAATGGAGACTGTTTGCAACTACGCTGTTGAAGTATTAAATCAGAAATTACTTTAATCATATTAACTTATTTAATAAAATTCATGTATGTCAGAGTTCTTCATAGTGTTTTCTAAAATAGACTTGATTTCTAGGTTAGTTAAACCGTTGCTTAAAAAATTGACCTGGTTCAAGTGGCATTTTAGAATTCCAGCTACAAACCTGAAATTGTTTGTGTGTATGCAAGCCCCTAACTGTGAATTTTTTCAAAGTAAGTTGTTAGTCATTTTCTGGTTCCATTCCTGATTTTTAAAAAGGTTCTTTATTGCAGGAAGACATAGAGGCAGAGTCTACGTTTTCATTAAATATGAGCTTCAGCAGTAAACGAACAAAATTTAAAATTACTACATCAATGCAGAAAGACACACCACAGGCAAGTATTCTTTGGTGTTTGAAGCTTGAACAGACTAGGAAGGTTATTGTTCTAATATTGAATTTATTGTATTCACTTGGTGTAAGCAGATGTAAGAGTTCCTGTGTAAGATTTAAATTTAAAGCTTAAGCAGTGGTTGGGTTTTTGTACTTAAAATATAGGCAGGAGAAGATAGAATAGGGAATAAGAAAGTGGAAGAAAAATATAAACAAGAACTGGTCTTCTGGTGCTAAGGGGGATTGACATTTAGCTTGTCTTAGCTAATGAGACTTTTTTTGTTGGTGGTGTTTATAAAAGCAATTTATTCCAGGAGCAGCAGAACCAATGAAGTCTGTTTTCCTATGGTTTTATGTCCTTTGGTAACTAAAATTAACTCCAGTTTTGATAATCCATGTTCCTTCTGTATCTCCTAAAACGTAGGATTTTGTACAAGAGGTGTACATGCTGCCAAACTCAATACTTTATAATAAATTCTGCCTGCCTTTCTCCCTAGCGAAAACACTGGTTTGGATGTGTCTCTCCTACCTCCCTAACTTTCATGAAACCTGCTATTCTTGATATATGGAAGTACTTTGCCTGGAATTGAACTTCACCTAGATTTGTTTTTTTATTAATTCGCCACTTTTAATAAAGTAGAAAGTATGCATTCAGGGTATTTTTATGAAGCATTTATTGATCTTGCTATATTTTAAGCATTACTGTTCTTCCCGTATTGCAGGAGATGGAGCAGACCAGAAGTGCTGTAGATGAAGACAGAAAAATGTATCTTCAAGCTGCTATAGTCCGTATCATGAAAGCACGTAAAGTGTTGCGGCATAATGCTCTTATTCAGGAGGTAAGACAAAATGTTTTTTGTATGATGTCAGTAAAATCTTCAGGATTGTGGGGTAAAACATCTGACCAGAAAGCATCCCCATGTCAGAACTGGTCCCCCAGTGAAATTAGTGAGAATTTTATTGGAGTCTACTTTGAACTGGAGCACTGTGATCCCTCAGTCTTGTAAATGTGTCTTAGCACTAAAGCATTAAGTGCCCCTATGCTTGCTCTTTTCCATTGGCTGGTTCTTTGCCGACAGATGTTCTGTTCTGTAAGAATCCTTGCCAGAGCTGTAGGTTCAGTTGAAAACCTGAGTATGTATAATCTAAGTATGGAATTTCCACAGAAGAGCATAGGCAATTTTGAGCTCTAATTGTGATTTTTTTTTTTTCTAATTCATAATTTTTAAAGTTGTCTGAATATGGAGACATGCACTTCTTAATCTCCCTTTTCCATTAAGCAGTAGGGTTATCTAGGTTTTTTAGATTCTAGGATAATGATCTGTGAACAGGCTGGGAAGGAAGTGCTATTTCTTTCAGTTTTCTCCCACTTTCCCATCTGTGCTAGTTGCCTGCCTAACTGTATTTCTTATTCCAACTTAACCTTTGCTCCTGCCAACCAGTTCCCAGTTTTAGTTTCCTCAGCAGTCCAAGGCATTCATTCTCCAGTTTAATTATTTCTTGTGTCTCCTGAGCCTTGCTTGGAGAGCCTCAGAGTGGACTGGTGAGAGAGGGAATAAAGATTCCTGCTGTATTCAACCATTTTGAGCATGTGGGTGGAGAAGCATTCAGTCATTTTGAGATCTGCTGTGTGCCTTCTGTCTTGTGGTGATGGAGGAAACAGTTTACCACACCCACCACTTAATTTTTATTTGCTAAGAAAAAGGCAGCTGCAGAGAGCTAAGCCCAGAACTTGCAATGTGAGGCATCTTAAGGGGTTTGGATATTGAAATAGTTCTTGTACACAGATACTCTGAAAGCTTAATTTAAGAAATCTGATGTTGAATATCTAAAAGATGAGGCAGTGCAGGTTCCAGTTATTCTCAAAATCTTTGGTTATTTTGGTTTCCTGTTACTTAAATCATCCATGCGATTATGATGAAGTCCTGTAAGAATTTACAGCTAGCAAATGGTAGGCAAGCCCTGTTCCATCTTTGAAAATATTTTTTTTTTCCCTACTCTCAAATTCTTAGAAAATGTTTTCAAAGTGTATTTTGCTTGAGATCAGTTTATAAGGGTGGAATAGATGACAAATTTTTTTGTTTTGGAAACAAAAAATCTTTTCTGGTTACTAGTTCCTTTGTTTAACTCAAGGGGCACTGTCTGACATGCCTCTACTGCATTTTTCTCTTGCAGAACAGTATAGTCTGTTAACATCAGGAGCTTTTTGATGTCTTGCAGGAAAGGTGGACATTTTGGTTGTTACTTGGTTAAAAACTGAGTAGAAATTAAAGCTGGTGCTTTATTTGTCTATTACCAGCCACATCCACCTATATGAATTTTTTTTTACCTTTGCTTTTAACTAAATTTCTAACACTTTTGAAAAATCATGTCCTTTATCATTTAGTCTTTAGCTCTCAATTTTGAATACTACTTGTATCTTAGATGGTTTAGAGAATTTAAAACTGAAGGCTAGGCTTCTGAATAATTGATATCTATTCTGTAGTGTCGGGACCTTGATGTAGCCTCACATGATCAGTTGTGAAACCTCAAGCAATAAGGAGAAGCAGTACCAAAATCCAATAGCAGTAATTTTTCCCTTTTTTTTGCACTCTGAATTAATTTGTACCGATTTTCATGCTGCCTCAGTTAAACTGCTGCTGGAACCTTTAAAATGTTAAATGTCTTCTCTATAGTCTATGATACAGATGTACTTTTTAGCCATTTCAGAAATTATTGCCAGATTTTAGAGCAAATTGTGGGGATACAAGTTTTTATATAGTTATTGCTTGAATGCAAAGATGAAAATCTCATGTTAAGTGGAAATTTATGTCTGCACTTAGCTCAGCGACTTGTTTTGCTTCATGTTGTAGGAATAAGGCCAAACTGCCGTGTGGTTCTGAATTGAACACGCTCAGCTTTCTCACTAGACTGACCTTTATTAAAAAAAATCACTTACTATCACTTCCTTTTTCTCCCCTGTTAACCTTGTAGTAAGATTTGATTTACTGTCAAGAGCCTTTTTATTTCTTAGTGGCTATTAGTGATATTGTTACTAATTATGGTCACATTGTTACTTTTATTATGATGTTTATATACTTACATGTAATGTATTCACTTAAAATTTCTAGTCTTATTTCTTTAGGAGTAAGAATGAATCACTTGAAAGGAAGTCTGTTTACTATGAATGGTTAATATTTTCTCACCCCATTGTGTTTTTCTGAGATATAAGTGCAGGAGTATACTGTTTTTAGAGATATGATTGAGAGACTCCTTGCCTTAATATAATTAGCTCTAATTCTAGCAGTTAGACTACAGAACCACACATTTCATTTAGGCTGAGGTGTCCAGGAAAATACTCAAGGCTCTCGGTAGACCTGTGTATGTAAGCCTGTTGTCTTTGCTGAATTGTTACTTGTGTTAGATATGCCCTGTTAGTTTTACTTTTAGCTCCATGCTGTAGTATTTTGCAGGACAAGGTAGCTTTTCCCTTAAGATGAGCGAGGTCAGTGGGAGAAGTGGAGGGCAAAAGTCATTTCTGGGAATGCAGTCATTCCCAGGATATTTTTTTATTCTGACCATCAGGTATTTGTATCATCTTTCTTATTTGTATTATCTTTGATAAAGCAAAACCTTACCAATACAAAATTGTATCTTTTGTTCTCTCTTTCCTAAGTAAATACATGAAGTATGATGATGACAATCAGTATGAATGTAGGGCTGAAGTTAGGTGAAATCTGAGCAGATCTATTAGCTTGTTAGCAGCAAGTTTCTTCTCATTTGTACTGCTGTGGAACATACCAGACCCTTGGCTGCTAGCCCAGCAAAACTCACTTGTTTGAGCTTATTGTTTGCTTTGTTGGGTGAGCTCTACCTGGCGAGTGCTATTGGCCCATAGAGGGCTCCAGCATGCTCTACAGCTGGGACAAAGCAAGCCTTGAAAAGTGGTAAAGAAAATGTGCAATCCAGCTGAAATAAAACTTACTTCCTTTACAGAACAAATGAGAAACTACAGGCAAAATATATTGTGACACTTGATTAGCAAGATCTTTGGTTTGAAAAATTGTCTAAGTTAATAGAAATGCATATTCTGTTAACTACGCATCATTTCCTCCTCTTCTCTACAAGAGAATGGGCAAAACTGAGAAGTATTAAGAGACATCTGAAGTATTGCCTGCAGTGGCAGTTTCTTCCACGATGCATATGTAGATTTATTTATTTTTTTCCCCAGTAAATAACTTTTTACTGTATGTATTACAAAGTTCCAACCAGATGAACCTCACCAAATCATAGGTCTGGCTTCAGTGAACAAAAAGAAGTTCATCTTGATTGTCTCAAATTGCCTAGGAAAGGAGCTCAGTGGTAGGGAACTCTATTTACACCTTCTGGGCAGCTGAGCAGTTCAGGTGCCTTCCAGGACCAGCACTACATTGGCTGGAACTTCAACAAAACACAGCAAATCCAGCTCACATCTCATATCCTGACAGCTGCAGCAGCAATGAAATAGTGTAATTTTACAAAAATGATTACTACTTGAGCTGTGTCTTCTGTGATGAAAAGTGTCATCTAGGGCTTTTCAGCAAATTGCTTGATAAAGTGTTATTCTTTTTTTCTTGCAGATTTGATTGTCTAGTGCAGTAGAATCTCAGAGAATAGGCTGCATTTTTAATATCTTTAAACCGTGCTATTCAGGAATGGATAAGCTTTTATAACATGGTCAGATTTTGGGGTAATTTGCTATGTACCTGCTTATATGTTCTCCTAAACATGACTTTTTAATGATAAAAAGAAAACACAGGTTTCACAAATCTTTATTAAGTGAAAATGTCATCTCTTTTTATGATAAAAAAGTGGTGATGGATGAGGAGATAATTGTGTTCAACTTTAGAGGTAGTTTTGAAAAATACAATCAAATGAAATTTAACCATTCAGAATTTTATAAATTATTATAAAAACTAAGATTAACACATTCTCCAGGCATTACATTTCCAAATAAGACTACTGTAACTCAAAACGCTCCATCCCTGGCAGTGTTCAAGACCAGGTTGGACGAGGCCTTGGGTGATACAGTATAGTGTGAGGTGTCCCTGCCCATGGCAGGGGGGTTGGAACTAGATGATCTTAAGGTCCTTTCCAACCCTAACTATTCTGTGATTCTATGATTCTAAAATTTGCAAGTCTAGGACTGTTCCAGAACAATGAAAATACATAAACAGAAGTAAAAGGGAGCTAGTCTAGGAAGGGAAATCAGTTACCAAGGCTAGTATGGAAAGGAACATAGAGTTTTACAAAATTTTCACTTTGCTTGAGCTGTGATAATAGTGAAGAAGTGTGTTAATATTTGATTAATTTTTAACCTGAATATCTATCTACGTTTGTACGGAATTTACCCTTAGTGAATATTTCTGTAGCATTTATAACTGTTGGAAATAAAAATAACAGAAACCCCGTGTCTTTCTCTTGCAGGTAATTAGCCAATCGAGGGCTAGGTTTAACCCAAGTATCAGCATGATTAAGAAGTGTATTGAAGTTCTGATAGACAAACAGTACATAGAACGAAGCCAGGCCTCTGCAGACGAATACAGTTATGTAGCATGATGTTGCTATCCTGCAGGTATGACTGTAAGGAGATCATTGCTGTCACTGTTTGGTGTGTTCCTGTGGGAAGAGGCAGGCCTGTGCCTCCATAATTGGTCACTTGGCAGCCCCTGTTTTTCTGCTGTTTACAACATCACCAGTGCCATGTCATGAGCGTCAATGAAAATGCCTATAGATATTTCAAGCTCATGTCATTATGACATTTCTTAAACTTTACTAAAAGAATGAGTGAAGTATTGCTGAAATGTGGAAAATTGGTTGGATACCATGCTTTTTTTTTTCCCCCCCTCCCCTTTCACGTTTGCAGTTGATGTTTTTTAATGTATCTTAAGACAAAGTTAAAAAAAAAAGAAAAAAACCTAAATATTGTAATATGACAGATAACCTAATAATTGTATCTACATTAAAATGTAAAAAAAATGACGAACATGATACTGCTGCTTGTCAAATAAAAAAATAAAGTTATATAATGTGTCTGGAATGATTGTAGAAATGGATATAGCGTTAATGTCTGTAAATATTATTCAGACTTGGACGAGTGAAAATAATGTTATGTGTTTGGGTTTTGGATAACCTCAGAAGTAGATCTGACGTAAGAACTAATTTATATAAAACTGAATACAAGGTTTGTTTTGTTTGATGTGATTATAAAAAAAAATATTTATGGTGAAGTGCACATCTTGTTTTCTTGAGATTAGGGTAATTTGCATTCTGAGTGCCTGAAGGCCTACTCTGTGTCTGTTAATCTCACACTGTGCATTACAAGAGAAAATAAACAGGCATCTGGGGGGATTTCAGTAGTGTAGTGCACAAAGAGTTGAGAATGGTTATCATGAACATCAAAGATAAAGTTCAGTGGCTTGTGAAACCACCCTGATAATGGGAAAAAGTATAGCAGACAGTCAATTGAAAACTGTTGTTTCACTAATGCATTGGGCAGAAACACTGTGTGGATTGGTACCTATGTTTGTTTCTGCCTAAGCCTATACTAGGGTTTTTTTTCCTTTTTTCCACTCCTGACTCATATAGTCGTGTTTATTGTATTTTGTTTTCCTCTGCCCCAGTTGTATTTCTAGCTATTTGGACAGACAAATTCATGGGCTGTTCCATGTCCTGTGTTTCTCATCATGGGTTGCATGGTGACTACTCACTCTCAAATAGGCAAAATATCACTCTAAAAGGTACTAACTCTACCACTGGAAGTAATTGGAGTTTAAAGAGCGTTAAGAAAGTGAACACGCTGAATGCCTGCTGCAGAAAACAGCTTCCTCGTGGCTATGCCTGCAATTATCATTGACAGGATTTAAATGTTCTATTTTTGCCAGATTTTATTAGTGTGCATATAAATATATATATGTAGATATATATCATTTGCAATATTTTTTTAGATTGTGTAATATTTCATCACCTACTAAAAGCCAGAGATCCCAAACTAATTTTACAGGAAATAGCCCTCTGGTGGGAGCTTTTTCCTTCTTTCTTTTTCTAGCTTTTCACTGTATAAAGATTTCTCTCTGACTCTCACACTGTTGCTGTCTCGTATTTCTTAAGTGGCATGGGCATGGCATTCATATGTTATCTGGAAGGTACAGTAAACTTTCTGTATTTATCAAGGAAATGCATCAAGAAGTGGTAGTGTTTTCCTTATGTGGCTTTTGGTGAGGGCAGATAACGGGCAATAAACAATGAAGGGCACTAAACGTTTCTTCCATATTTATGCCATTTTATCCCATGATGCTAAGATCTGGATTTTTAAAATGGATTTATGTCTTAAAGAAGTGGGGTTTTTAACTGATCATAATATGGTTCAGTAAGTCATTGTCTAAAGAGGTAGTTCAGAGTTGTGTTGGGAGACAGCAAAGATGCTTATAGTGTAAGTGTAATAAACAGGAGACACATTAGCATAGATTTTGATGGGAATGGCTTCTAATCTATTTCACTGTGAAACATTTCTGTGCTTTATAAAAAAGGAATTCATTAATTCTTATGGCAAAAAAGATAGAATATTCTGTGACAGAATAGAAAAAAATATTTGCCTGAAAATTGAATTGTCAGATCCTTTCTCCAGAAAACAAACTAAGAGTGACACCAAAGCTTTTGGAAACAAATGTGTTTTATCTTGTAACTTGTGTATGAGTCAACAGATTTTAAGCTTGTTTCTTCATAAAAGGGCTAATAAAAGCTTTATTTAAATACAGATTGCAGTAGCAAAATTTTAAGACTGAGGTTTAACAGTCCTTAACAGATTTTGTTTCAGAATCACTTCATAGACAGAACAAAAACTTTATTCCTCTAACCCAAATGTGTAAGGTTTTAGCATTACCTTATCTCTGAATTTTTGCATACCTAAACCATCAAAAGTACTATTTTACTTTTTAGATAAGCATGCTGCTGAGTTGAGACATGTTTAGCGAGTTAAAAACATTCATATATTTCAGTGCAGTTGGCATACCCAGACAATGTCTTTCATAATTACACACAAACTCAGACTTTTCAATGCCTCTTGGGAAACATGGCTACAGCTGGGAAACATTTTGTATTCTCCTTTATAACTCACACCTTCCCCCTAAGGAAAAAAGTAGTGCAGAGATTCAGCCTTCTCTAGCAGAGTTAGGTCACTGAAGTCATTGCTGGCACACAATGATGCAGTTTATAGTGTAGTGCTACAGCCTGCCAACACATCTGACAAGCACCATTTTAAAATACAAAGTGCTAATGGGTATTACCAGGAGGGGCAAGTTACAGAAAGAGAAGACATCCAAAAATGCTGTGCATTTTTAATTTTTCACTAGAAGAAACTGCTATAATTGTATAGATGGTTTTATTCCTTATATGCCCGTTGGCATGTACGACCCACTAGTTTCCTGGGAGCCACAGGGCTGACCCTGGAAACGTAATGATTTCATACATCTCCTACACTTATAATGTTGAAATGCGTTTTACTTCTAGTATTGTTGATAATTCTTATGCTAACTGAAAATGTATTTCTACGATGATTTAATTTGTCTTCAGATTGCTTATCTTATTCTAGGAAACAAAAATGTGTACCTTTATTTACGTGTGTTCATATATACAGGGCTGCTGGAGCTAGGAAAGGTACTCAAATCACCATACCATGAGAAACAGTCTTGAAAGCGTAGAGAATCGTTACTTTTTAAGAAACCTTTCAATGAGTATGGCACTTTTCCAAATGTGGAGCAAAGTACAGAAATTGGCTAAAGGGAAAGTACATTTTATAAGCTGATACCTTTATGCTTAGAAAGCTATTTCTTAAACTTTAAAAAATCAATTTTAAAAGCAAATCTTGAAACATAGCATTGATTCTTGAGCTGAATAAATTCTTTGTACTTTAGAGCAAATATATTAGGACTGTCCATGCTTTCCTAATATGGTAAGTACCTAGAGTTAATTAATCTAAGGTATTACTAATTATAATTATTAATTATATTATTAATAATATATTATTAATTATAATATTATTATATTATCTATAAAAGCATATTTTTCAAAGCAATTGTTCTTGCACTGAGAATTTTCTCTTATTACAAATCTGAAGTTATCCTTACTTGCCTATGGTAAGTTCTACCGCACTTCCTAGCTAATAACAAAGCAGAGGTTTTGCAAGTTTTTGGGCAAAAGAGGAAGAATCAGAAACATTGTTTGGATATAGTAGTTTTAAAACAATGCGAGATTGCTAAATGCAAGTATGTGTGTGTGTATTTTTATAGAAGGGGGGTAAACAAGTATGACAGTAAAAGTAACTAGGCACATGTAGCTTGGATATGGATTCTTTACTGTCTCGCTTCTGTGGAATTCACAATTGCATCAGTAAGGGGAGAAAATAACAGCCCACAAAAGGAAAGAGGGGCGCATGCCAGTTGGTCTTCCTTGAGAAGTAATGGAGTGGTATTTTTGTGTTCTTTATATTTGAATAGTTTAAACATTCTTGTGTTAATTAACAAGATTAATCTTTAGTTCAGTGTTGATGATTACTTGTCACCCATTTGAGGAAGAAGTGTGCTGGAGTATTCAAAGCAGTAATGCATTTGACATACCCATGTGTTGGTGGTGCTCCAAACTCCCAGGAGCATGCAGCACAAGACTGCATGAAAACTCCCTAATCTGCCCAGTAAATCTACTCACGCCTCTGAGAAGTGAAGGACTCTCAACCTCAGGAGTAGTACTAAGCAAGTCAAAAGGTATTGTTAGTCACTTCTAAAACAGTTCCGGCAGTTTAGGGAATTACTCCCACCGTCCATTTCTACACCCTCTTTGTGACCCTGTGACTGAAAGCTATCAATGATTTAAGCAAAACTGAAACGCTCACTTGATCGCTTTGGCTGGAGTGACGCACAGCTTGAATTAACTCCCCAAGAAGTGGAGTTAATGCAGTGCTCAGCTGGCGAAAGCAATGGGTGTGTATATTACTAGTCTATGACAATATCAAGTGAAAACTTTACACGTGAACCACTGGTGAACTTGCTGTTGATGAATCCTTTCCAGAGCTTCTGGTCTAGCCATCAATCTCCATTGGTATTTTATATTGAGAAGCATTATACTAACTTTGTGTGTCCTTCCACTCTTCCACTGAGATAAATCATACACTAGTGTTTCTGTAAATAATGCTCTCCTAATCTTCTTTGATGTAGTGTTCTATACCAGCAACAGAAGATAATGTAATTTGGGACTACAAATTTGGGTCAGAAAGTAAAGTAGGATGGATGAAACATTTCTCAATGTCTGTATAGCCAAGGCACCAATTCTTTCGGACTGACTGTTCTTCAACCAGAAGTTTGATATATTAGTGTTTACGGGAGTAATAGCTGCATAAGTAGATTGTTAGCTGTGTTTTCATCTTAAAGAGGCCTGTTCTTATCATAATCATTGAAAGGTAAACACTGCATCACCTCCTTTTCGTGGAAGCTGGTGGTTCTGATGTGTATCAAACTCTTTCCAGCAGCTGTGAACAGTAGCAGAGTAGTTGCCAACAGTTATTAAAGATGAGTGGTTTGAGGACGGTTTTGAACCTTGGCAAATTGCTGTTGCCTGTCTTTTGTTGTGGGGTATATCATCAATAACTTAATAGGTATGTATGCTAACAAGTGTAATACTTGGGTAGTTTTTCATATCATGCTGAACAGTTTTGGTTCAGTTTGGTAAGATATACTTGGGCTGCTTTCTTAAAAACTCTATGCATGGGTCCGTTTTCCTTTCTTCTTTCCAGCCACCAGCTTAATAGAATTCATGGTTGTCAAAACTTGAGTTTGAAAGAAAAAAAAGTATATCTGAAACTGATATTATGTAGTCATCTGGGTATTTGAAGCCAGTTCAGAATGTTCTGTGGGATTTGTTTTAAGCAATGCCAGGCATTTGGCTCCTTCAGAGTGGTGAGGTACATGGAGTGAGGTGCTGCCTAGAACTAATCAGGACACTCAGTGGAAGGGTACGAATCATCTACTGGCTCTTATGC